TGTCTTTTTTCTTGGTTGGTTATTATTATTCCCTGTGTATGCCATCTTCTGACACCGATCTCTACCTCTGCCACCCTTTTGCACCTTCTACTTCCTCCCCGATTCAGATTCGTGATTTTAACGATTCTAGTATCTTTGTTGAGATCTCGGTTCTCCTTCTGCACGACCACCCTCGTTTGTTTCGGGGTGTTTGTCGCCCTGCCAAGCATATTCTTGAAACTTGTCTAGTGGGTTGGTGAAGATTTGGATTTGTTGTTGAAAAGTTGAGCACTTTTTGTGGCATCGTTTGGTGTTTGGGATATTGAGATTTTGAGGTCCCTTTTTGTTTGTCTTATTTTTTGTGGTGCTTCGATGGGGTGTTTGGATGATGGGCGTTTCGCTGTTGAGATTGAAAATGGAGTGAGCAATGGTTGTGGTGAAGTAGAGTTGGGGAATGATGGTGGTGCCATTGAGGATGCTGTGAAGGTTTTGTTGGAGGGTCTAGGGGAAGATGTAAATAGGGAGGGACTTAGAAAGACACCACTTCGTGTTGCCAAGGCCCTTCGTGAAGGAACCAGAGGTGAGTAACTTGCTTTGCCATTCATTTTCTTTGATGTTAAAAAGTGTTTTTTTTTTTCTTCTTCTTTTGCATGATTTACTAAACAATATGCACTTTGTTATTTGAATGGCGGTGAGTGTTATAATTTTTCACCTTTTGCAAGTGTTGTGATTGATTGATTGGATATATGGTTCTTTGCCGCCTGATAACAAAATTTGTATGGATGGATCTAAGATCCTTCATGTTAGTGCATGTTTGAATTAAGTTTGTAAAAAAGACCCTCTATTTTCTTCCGTTTGAAACTGAGTTTGAAGCAGAATTGAGACAAAGCTCAGTTTAGAGTCATACAAAACTGAGATCCAAAGAGGGATTTTCCAGTTTCCCTTTTTGAATTGAGTTGGGGGCTTCCGAACTAAAAACAACACACAACTAGATATATGGAGAATTACTTGTGCTGTCTTTTTGCTTGAAAAAAGTTAAAGTAAAATTTGATTACTGTTGGAGATATTCATTGTCTTTTATTATTTGATGACTACAACATTTGATCTTTTTTTAACTTTTTGGAAAATTTGTCCTAGTTCTTTTATAAATCTTCAAATTGTCTACTGTATTGATTATTTATTTACAAAATTATCCTTATGTTGAGGTTTATTATTTCATTTGAACGGCATCCCAATAGTTTAATAGTATTTCTGAAAACTTGTACAAATTCCAGTAACTAAATTAACTTATTTTCTTAGCTCTTGTTAAGTAATTAAAATGGTTATATCTATGACAAGATGTAGTATTTGTTATTTCTCATAGTGTACTGTAAAAAGTAACTCAAAATACAGAAAGACTTTGGTAGTGAGCACCGAGTATTAATTTATCTTGTCAGCTTGCCGCTTAATATTGCATTTTTGAAATACAAAATGATGTTAAATTTATAATTTTCTTATGAAGTTTTCTTTTGCTTGTTGATACGAAGAAACATTTCCAACACTCAGACACAGTCAATAATACTGGGTTGGTTTACATCTTGTTTCGGAAAAGCTTCAGTGCTTGTTTCCATACTATCTACTGTAATGAACTTGTTTTATCTACTGGGACCTTCACTCAGTTACATATTGTGGAGAAGATATTGATTGGTTTTTGTTACTGATTTTTCTATATATTCCTTAAACATTTCTATCATGACACATGGTTAGGCTTTTGGAGAGGGACGATAAATGGTTTATTGAGAAATGTTTAGCCAGTCTCCTCACTGCAACAGAGTATTTGATAGAAGGTTTTGGCATCCTGTTTCAATTTTTTTCTACATTACATAATCACCCAAGAATAATGATTCTATTTCATTATGAAGTTTTGTGACCTTAACACACTTTCTTTGTATGGCAAGTGTATTTCTTCCACTGGGATGTCATGTTCCATTGTGATGGCTATCATGTCATTTAAAAAGAGGAAAAAGAAAGTATTTCTTCCTCCATTATTGGTTCGTTGCTTTATATGCTTTACCTTTCTCCATCACGAGTACATGAGTATATGTCCATTTAATGTTGTATTACCAATAGTAAGGAGATCTCTTTTCTACCAGGTTACAGACAAAAAGTGAAGGACATTGTTCAAGATGCTTTATTCCCTGAAGCTGGTCTAGATAATAGAGTTGGTCATGCAGGTGGAGCAGGTGGACTTGTGATTGTTCGAGATCTTGACTTGTTTTCCTATTGTGAGTCTTGCTTGCTTCCATTCCAGGTTAAGTGTCATGTGGGTTATGTCCCCTCTGGTGAAAGAGTTGTTGGCTTGAGCAAGCTCTCTCGTGTTGCTGACGTATTTGCAAAACGGCTTCAAGATCCTCAACGTCTGGCAGATGAGGTGTGCTCTGCTTTACATCAGGGAATAAAGCCAGCAGGTGTCGCTATCATACTTCAGTGTACACATATACACTTTCCAGACATAGAATCCGTCTTATTTGACTCAAACCACCAAGGATGGATTAAGATACTTGTTTCCTCAGGTTCTGGGGTTTTTGAGAACAAAAATGCAGATGTATGGGATGATTTCTCTACTCTTCTTAAATTTAGAGGCATCAGTATGGATAAAATTTATTTTAGAGGATCATCTGACCCATGCTGGTGTCCTTCTCAGTCTTTAATCTCTGCCAAAGTTTCCTCCAAAATTGTACCAGTCAATCCTGTAATGATCACTGCAGTAGCTTCGATTATTGAATCTTTGGGAGAAGATCCTTTGAGGAATGAGCTTATAGGGACCCCAAGTAGATTTGTGAAATGGTTGATGAACTTTCAAAAGAGTAAGTTTGACATGAAGTTGAATGGTTTTCTTTGTGGTGGGATGGATACTTTGAATGTAAATGAGGAGGTTAACTTCAACAAAAAAATAGCCTCTGAGCTGAACATACCTTTTTGGTCACAATGCGAGCATCATTTACTTCCATTTCATGGTGTTGTTCACATAGGATACCTCATATCTGACGGATTCAATCCTATCGGAAAATCACTTCTACAATCAATAGTACATTTCTATGGTTTCAAGCTCCAAGTTCAGGAAAGGCTTACCAGGCAGATAGCTGAAACCATTTCTCCATTGTTAGGTGGAGATGTGATAGTAGTTGTAGAGGCAAGTCACACATGTATGATCTCTAGGGGAATTGAGAAGTTTGGAAGTAGTACGGCCACGATTGCTGTGTTAGGACGTTTTTCAACTGACCCTACTGCAAGGACTTCATTCTTGCAGAGTATTCCAAGTCCTACATCAACTGGGGAACAATGACTCTTATTTGAGCTCACATGAAACAATTTAGCTCTAGTTCAGATCATTCCTTGCACTTTGAAATTTCACTGTCAGCAGTTCAGCAACCCCAACATGGTTTCATAGATAATCTTATGTTTTTCAGTTCCTCAAATTTTTGTTTCAGTAGATTTCCGGTCAGAAATTGTCTTTTACATGATCATTGCAACAAATTCCTAAAAGAAATATCGAGGGGTTCGTCCAGATTTACATACTGGTTCACTCTGCTCCTAGAATGTGAATGATGTTATTGTACCCTGAAAGTTATTGATGTTAGTATCAGAATACCTATAAATTTTGTATACTTTGTATGAATGTTCACAAAGGGCAAGATTTAAGCTCGATGTTGTGCAAATGCTTTTATTCTCTAGTGGTAGAATGAAGATTTATTGATTCCATGACAAGTATATTATGAACACTGTTCCACTGAGATTGAATGAAACAAACCATACTAAACCCTGAATAGAAGGGAGTTCAAAAATGTGAATGCTGTACACTATAGGAGCGAAAATGATTTTGTTAACAAACTCCATTTTGTTAAATTACTATAAATTTATATTGGAAATGTGTAAGATGAATGCAACCCATTTTGCTTTTCATAGCCGGATTCAATCACTATAAATTACAGTACTTAGGCTGCAAAACTTTGGAATCTGGAAGTTCCAATTCCAAGCCTTAATCCAGGTTCAGCATTAAAACAATTATTTACATGTATTAACTGTATTAGGAATATACATGATTCGTTTAAACTAAAATACTATGCAAAATAAAACAGTAAATTTTACTCTAATATTTCCATTTTTTTTTTTTTGCTTACAACAAGTCCTTATAGGAGGAATATACGTTGAAAACTTTTCAAACAATTAAAAGAGAGATTGATTTAATTTATAAGTAAGAATACTAATCTACTGTTGTTAAAACTATTAATGGATATTTTATTTTTGGAACAACTACCCTTATAGGGTCTCACATTGTAATAGTTCTCAAACAATTAAGGGAGATTGGCATAATTAACAACGGATGTCAGTATAATCATGTTAAAATAATTAAAAAATAATGTCACGAATATAGAAGGAAATAAAAAAGACAAAGGAAACCAGTGTAATTTCCTCAATAATCATTATGTCAAGCATGGGGAAGAACATGTTTACAATCAGTTATTTGTGATTCTTGCTGAATATGAAGGTAATTTAAACTTATTAATGAAACTCATAAGATACAAATAAGAAAAAGTATTTAAAAATTAATTTTCATATGTTTAGTATGAATAAAACAAGTTCAAGTTCTTATTCACTAGTATATTTGGAAAAGAAAAAATCAATATTCTATTAAATGCTTCCAATTATTTTTTAAGAATATTAAAAAGTTATTATATTTTGATATACATGTTTCTATAAAATATATCATGATGTAATATTAAACTCATTATATTTTTTATTCTTTTTTTCTTTAAAAAAATGTTTAAATCAACAAAACATATTAAATGGCAAATGTTCCAATCCAACCAAAAAGTGTTCCAATTCAACCACACTACAAATCTCCATTATATATACCATATTATAATGTTTATATAGCTACCATATATGCCGAATTTTATGCCACTCTATCATTGGTTTATCCTTGGGAACCTTTCTCTTTGGAATCTGCCACCATGTCATTGGTGTGTTCATCAGAGCTTTCATATTTGGAATATGCCACTATTATTATTGAGAAATTTTGTTTTTGAAAATGGAACGTGTACTTCTGCTCTTTGTCCCATACCAATTGCAACTCCTATCCCCAGAATCAGGAAAATCATGTATACTGGTGAAAAAAATTTATGAACCTGCAGCCATCATCATTTAGCAATTATGAGAGGTTCTTATGACATTTCCAAATGAGAAAAATACTATGAAGAACATAATATGCAAGAATGATAGAAATTTGACAAACCACCAGCAAAGTGATGTGATCTCTACTAACTTTACTAGGCTATCTAAGACATTAAATAGGATTTTATTAATGTGTGTCCTCAAGAAAGTTTGACATAACAAAGAGAAAATATTGAAGGAAAAGAAGAAACATTCAATAACAACCAGAAGGATAATGTTAACCAACATTTTTGTTTAATGAATCAAAATGAACAATTTGTTGGAAATTGTAACAATAAACTTCTCAGTGGTTTTCAATCAAAACCAACAGAAAAAAAAAAATAACAATTAAAAGCCAATTGCTTATAATCATTAAAGATTTTGTTGTTTTCGTGCATGTTATTTATACTCTATCTTTCAGTAATCTGACATAATGTTTTTTAAGATTCATTTGTTATCTTATAAGGTTAAATTAAAATATTGAACAGCACACATTTAGGATTCCTAAAGAATTAACATATATTATCCAATCTTATCAATTTATACAGCTGCAAATATGATTTAGAAACATGATAAGATAGTAAATCAGATCGAAAAAGAAAAGTTCATAATTCCGTTATGAGTCTGCAGCTAATAGCTATAAATTTAGGCAAGTAACACATACCTTATACCCAAGGACCTTGCATTTCTGAGGAAGATTTCTGTCTGCATGGGCAAGACTATATCGTAGCATTCCAATTATGGCAGACTCAGTTGCTGGACAATCAGAATCTGCATAATGAATAGAAGTTGTTTAATGACATAAAATAATATTCAAGGAAAGGTGTCACATGATGATAAAATTATAAAGGTACTTGGGATGTCAAAAATTTGCTTGGTGGGTGGAATTCCTAATAACTTTCCCAGACGTCCACGAACATGAGCACGCTCAGTGCGTGAAAGGAGATCCCCATGAGTGAAAACAAGTACCGGTTTGTCATCTGTAGGTAATAGAAATAAACAATCACATTGACTATTGAGAATAGTAATTTAGTCCACACCTCAGCGTATATAAGATGAATGATGAGAGATCTGGAAAATATCAAAGTAAACAGCAAGAGTGTTTAATTTATACAATATATATTATGCAGAGCTACTACACCAGGGCTGCAGAGAACTATATACAAGCATAATTTTTCATAAAAGTTCAGACAATACAACACACAAATTTGAAATGTAACTCATGTAGATCAAGTTACTCTTGTATATCTACTGGAATTGCCTATTTAAAAAGAACTACCAATTTAAACAAGTGTAATGAATTAGATAGAAATCACAAGTGTTCAGATGATTTTGTTCACAACTGTTAAGGTTTTATAATACTAGAATTGTGTTATATATGATAGAAATTGGAAATTAGACCTGAAAACTTGACTTGTGTTACATATGATAGAATTGGAACTTAGACCCGAAATTTGACTGTGTTCACATCATTCACTGTCTGCTATTTGATGGGGATCAAGAGAAAATTAATGGGCCAGAAGAATTATTGATCCATGAAGCTGCCAGCAAGCCCAAGACGTGGTTGGTTTACAAGAGAAGAGAGAAGAAAATAGAAAAAAGAAAATAGATATGCTGAGGTGGAAGTTAGTTAGAAGGGAGAGAAAATAATTATTTATATAATAGGTTTGTTTCTGTGAGGGGGGGGGGGGGGGGTTTTGGATTTTAGAGATATGGAGAGAGAATATCTCTTTGTAATACTGAGCGATGCTCTGGGGTATCTGGAGGTTATTTCTCTTGATGCATAGTTATTCTTATTTTCTGGTCAAATTATCAAAATCATCCCGTATTTCTTCCATATTTTGCTTTTTTGTCCGATAATACTGTTGGTCAAGTTTTCTGATTCGTAACAAATTGGTCCGACCTGCCGGATCCAAACACTTCCGTGAATGCCAAGAAACAAGAAACCAACGAACGCAGAACCGATGTCGAATGAAACGGTGGATTCTCGTTTGGAAACGGTGGAAAAGGAACTTTCCGGTTTACGATTGACGATGGAGGAAAATCAGAAGAAGATGATGGAGTTTATTGTTCAAAGCCTTAGTGGCTTTGCCAAAGATCTAGAGAAAAGGAGGGCAGAGATGCCGGAGAACCATGGTGAGGGAGTTCATTCATCCAATGACGGACCCGAAGGCGAAAAGGAGGATGGAAAAGGCATTTGGGAAGGGAATGAGAGTGCTGGAGACCCCAAATTCTAGGGCGATACCTTGGAGGAATTTAGACAATCGGTAAAGAAGGTTGAACTTCCGTCGTTCAATGGTGAGGACCCCGCAGGGTGGATATCACGTGCAGAAATTTATTTCCATATTCAAAATACAAGAGATTCAGTACGCGTGCGTCTGGCGCAATTGTGTATGGAAGGAGGGACGATACATTTTTTCAATTAGTTGCTCAACGAAAGGGAAAATATCTCCTGGGAACAGTTGAAGGAAGCATTATTGGATCGTTATGGAGGTTTGGGAAAAGGGAATGCATATGATCAACTTATGGCATTGGAGCAGACCCATGACGTTGATCAATATATCCAGAATTTTGAGTTTCTAATGGCACAGATTCCCCGAATTCTAGATAAACAGTACTTTTCATTCTTTACACGTGGATTGAAGGAAGATATTTGTGATCGTGTGAGGAGTATGCAAGCTATGGGGACTCTGACTTGTTCACGTTTACTTAACGTCACACGAACAGTAGAGGTGGAACTTAGGGGTAAGGGCAGATTGGTCTTTTCACCAGGAAGGATGGATCCACGTGGGTCGCATTGGTCTACAAGGCCCAATTCAAGTGTGGTACTCAGAAATCAAACAAAAATTGAGAAAGGGGCTAGGGGTCAGGTGTTCACAGGTGGAACTAATGGGCCGGGGTCCAATTCACGTGAGGTGGTGCAAGGAAGAAATGGTGGTGGGCTAAGAGATCGTGGGGTGAGACAAATGTCATATAATGAGCTTATGGATAGAAGGCAACGTGACCTCTGTTTTAAGTGTGGTGGAGCCTATTCACCTCAACACGTTTGTCCGGAAAAACAATTGAAGTTAATGCTCGATCGATGAAAGAGATATGGAAGATGATCGAGTCGATTCCGAGTACGTGATTTTGGCCGATACTGGACCAAATTGATGGAGAATGTTCTATTCTTCACTTGCGTAATCTGTGGCACCAAGGTGAGGACATGTCGCAACCGAAAACATTGAAGCTTGAGGGAGAAATTCATGACATTCCTGTATGTGTTTTGGTGGATAGCGGAGCCACTCACACCTTTATCTCTAGAAGTTTAGTGGAGGCAATGGGATGGTCGATAGAAGAGACGAAAGACTTGAAGATCTTGATGGGGGATGGCCATAAATCAATTACGCGTGGAAAGTGTCGATAACTTCATATTAGATTGGGCCACCGGACGTTTGTATTGGACGCCTATTTGTTCGATCTTGAAGATATTGACGTTGTGTTAGGAATTTCATGGCTGGCTTCCTTGGGGGAGATGATTATTGATTGGAAATTTCAGTCTCTTCGTTTTGTGCATAACGGTGAATGGGTTGAATTAAAAGGAACCACGCAACACAATAAAAAACAAGGCATCCTTAACTCGCTAGAAGGGATGATTTCTACTAAAAAGGTAGGGGCAGAAGTTGGGGAAAGTGAAAGCGAGCTGGTGACGAGTGTTGGACCGGATGCGAAACAAGACTTACAAGGCTTATTGGATCGATTTAAATCTGTTTTTCAAGAACCGCAGGGTTTGCCCCCTAATAGAACCAAAGTACATAGCATTACCTTATATCCTGGTCAAGGCCCAATCAACGTGCGTCCTTATAGATATGCACATCATCAAAAAGATGAGATTGAACGTCAAGTCAAGGAATTATGGGATAATGGGGTTATTCGACACAGCAGCTAGTTCATTTTCTAGTCCGGTGATTCGGTAAGAAAAAAGACAAGTCGTGGAGGATGTGTGTAGACTACGAGGCGTTGAACAAGGTGACCATTCCGGATAAATTTCCAATTCCCGTTATTGAGGAGTCTGTTGGATGAGTTGCATGGAGCAAAGTTCTTCTCAAAGCTGGATTTAAAATCTGGTTACCATCAAGTTAGGATGAGAGAAGAAGACATAGAGAAGACTGTCTTTAGGACACATGAGGGTCACTATGAGTACCTCGTGATGCCATTTGGGCTAATGAATGCTCCTTCGACGTTTCAAGGTCTAATGAATGATATATTTCGAGGTAAGTTGAGGAAATCAGTATTGGTTTTCTTTGACGACATTTTAATCTTTTCTAAGAGTTGGAAAGAACATATGCAACACTTAGGAGAGGTATTCCAAATTTTGCAGGAGCAAGTTTTATTTGCCAATGAAAAGAAGTGTTTCTTGGCAAGGAGGCAAGTGGAGTATTTGGGACATATCATATCAGAAGAGGGAGTAGCGGTAGACCCGGAGAAAGTGAGGAGTGTAATTAATTGGCCAATCCCCAAGAATGTAAAAGGGGTAAGAGGTTTCCTTGGTTTGACAGGCTATTACAGGAAGTTTGTTCATGATTATGGTAAAATAGTTCGACCCTTGACAGAATTGACTAAGAAGGATGCATTTAAATGGGGAGATGAGGCTCAAACAGCTTTTGACACATTGAAGAAAAGGTTAACTACAGCTCCGGTGCTGGTATTGCCAAATTTCGACAAGGAATTTGTGGTGGAGTGTGATGCTTCCGGGTTGGGAGTAGGGGCAATAATGATGCAAGACAAGCATCCAGTGGCATTCTTTAGTAAGGCTCTTAGTACTCAGAATTTGAACAAGTCCACGTATGAGAAAGAATTGATGGTCGTAGTTCTTGCAGGTGAACCATTGGAGACCTTACCTTATTGGGAGACATTTCTCGGCTTTGACGAGATCATAAGAGTCTTAAACGGCTCCTTCAACAGAAAGTTATCTCTGGTAACCAGCGAGAATTGGATAGCTAAATTGTTGGGTTATAACTTTGATATTATTTACAAGCCTGGGGCGGACAATAAAGGGGTTGATGCTTTATCAAGACAGATGGAAAGTGGTGAATTAAGGAGTCTTATGTACCTTCGGTGTGGATGGATAGTCAAGCAATTGTGGTTGAGGTGCATGAGGATGCAAAATTAAGGGAAATTATTGAAAAGATCAAGAAAGGTGAAGAGGTTCCTGCAGGTTTTACTTACCAACACGGGGTTCTATTATTTGAAAACAGATTGGCGGTGGCGGACAACTCTGATTGGATTCCAAAAATCTTGGAAGAATTCCATGTGACTCCTCAAGGGGGCCATTCTGGCTATTTCAGAACCTATAGGCGGTTGGCGTCGGCTAACATATACTTGGAAAGGGATGAAAAGGATGGTGCAACAGTATGTGAGAGCGTGTGACACTTGCCAAAGGCAAAAATATTTAGCAACTACACCAGGAGGGTTGCTACAACCTTTGTCAATTCCGAGAAAAGGTTTGGGAAGATATATCTTTAGACTTCATTATGGGTCTGCCTAAATCTAAGGGATATGAAGCAATTCGGTAGTGGTAGATAGGCTAACAAAGTATGTCCACTTTGTTCCACTTAAGCATCCCTACACGGCCGAACGTTGGCTGAAACGTTTGTGAAAGAAATAGTGAGGTTGCATGGGATCCCAAATTCCATAGTCGACGACAGAGACCCCATTTTCATAAGTCAATTTTGGAAAGAATTTTTCAAACTACAAGGCACAACCCTTAATATGAGTACTGCTTATCATCCACAATCGGATGGTCAAACGGAGGTGGTGAATAGGAGCTTAGAGACATATTTGAGGTGTTTTATCACCGATCAACCCAAACAGTGGGTGGTTTGGCTCCCGTGGGCTGAGTACTGGTATAATACATCCTACCATGAGTCCACTCAAATGACTCCTTTCGAGGCAGTGTATGGGAGGAAACCTCCATCTTTAGTAAGAGGGATCCAAGGAGAAATAAGGGTAGAAGCGGTTCAACAAGAGTTGGAGGATAGAGATGAAATTTTAAGGCAACTAAAGGAGCATCTTACAAGGGCTCGAGTCGGAATGAAGAACCAAGCGGACCTCAAAAGACAAGAGAGGAAATTTGAAGTAGGTGAATGGGTTTTTCTGAAATTACGCCCTCATAGACAGAATTCGGTTTCTCCCGGGGTTAATACCAAACTGGCAAGCAAGGTACTACGGTCCTTTTGAGGTGTTGAGCAGAGTTGGTGAGGTGGCTTATCGTTTGAACTTACCATCTACTTCAAGAATACACCCCGTTTTTCACGTATCATTGCTTGAAGAAAGCAATTGGCAACTACCGGACTCAACCCGAACTACCTACTGAGTTGGGAGAAGAGGATGCAGAGTTGTGGAATCCTACTTCCATTTTAGCCAGAAGAGAAGTCGTAAAACACGGAGAGATAGTGAAGCAAGTGTTGGTGCAATGGGCAGCAAAGCCAGCCGAGGAAGCTACATGGGAGGATGCCATTATGATAAAAAATCAGTTCCCTCATCTCCATCTTGAGGACAAGATCAATTTTCAAGAGAGTGGCAATGATGGGGATCAAGAGAAAATTAATGGGCCAGAAGAATTATTGATCCATGAAGCTGCCAGCAAGCCCAAGACGTGGTTGGTTTACAAGAGAAGAGAGAAGAAAATAGAAAAAAGAAAATAGATATGCTGAGGTGGAAGTTAGTTAGAAGGGAGAGAAAATAATTATTTATATAATAGGTTTGTTTCTGTGAGGAGGGGGTTTTTTGGATTTTAGAGATATGGAGAGAGAATATCTCTTTGTAATACTGAGCGATGCTCTGGGGTATCTGGAGGTTATTTCTCTTGATGCATAGTTATTCTTATTTTCTGGTCAAATTATCAAAATCATCCCGTATTTCTTCCATATTTTGCTTTTTTGTCCGATAATACTGTTGGTCAAGTTTTCTGATTCGTAACACTATTGATATAAACTGATGTCAAAAACAGAATACTTACCAGATGACTTTCACATAAATGAAAATGAAGATAGAGATGAACAAAAGACAATTTAAAAGGTATTGTGTCCTGCCTGTCCAAACGTCCCAACTCAGCAGCAGTCAATTTCTGCCTAAATCCCTCTTCCTCTACTGTCACATTTTATCAAGGTTACTATACCCACTCTCACGTTACTCAAGCAAGATAGACAAATCATGTGTAGATAATGCAAAATTATGAATCAATGTGCAGTTCCATCATATAGAAATTATTCTAACAATATCAAATTTAATAAAGATTGTGTACCTTTAAATGATAGGGATGGGTAATTGAAAGTAGAAACAATTGTTTCAATATAATCTGTCTCTGAGTCACTAGAATCGTTCATTGCATTCACAACCAGAAGAGCATTAACAACATATATTACAAAATTAACTTTTCTGGTCTGACTGGAGTGATCTTTCTTGTGAACTTTACTTTCCAAACTTTTCCTCAATCTCTCATTATCTGTTTCCCTGATACGTGATGTGATTATATAATTTAAAGTAAAAGTAAATATGACTAAATAAATGACGAAATTAAGCATTTAAATATTCGAACCTGAGAACAAGCTCTCCATGGCGAACACCTTCTGTCATCCAATCCTCCAACATTCTAATATTGTCATATCTGTCCAAGTTATCTGACAAACCACGTGTATCATATAAACAGAAAGAATTTGAATATCTCGGCATCATATACTCCTGGAGGAAGTATGTTCCATTCTCTGTAAATGAGTTATCTGGCATAAAAACATATAGAAAATTAATTTCTCAAATGAGTGATTTATCGTAATGTACTAAGATCTATCCTATAATGAAAGAAATTATCTCTTCATTTTTCAAATTGATATCTAAATTGAGGTGCTAAAAGTTATACATGACTCCTGTGCTCGTGGTGGTGCAAATTTGTCATCCTCAAGCACCGTAGAGATTCTATTTATGAGACTACTTTTACCCGATCCACTTGGCCCAACCATTAACAGGCATGTTGTCTTTGGTACATCATAATCACTTTTCTCTAAGCCACCAACCTTCTCAATCCATGCTCCAGGCTTATATCTGTGCCAATGAGAACACAATATATGACAATCAATACGTATCTTTTGAGGTTTCATATCACACTTGCAATAGCCCTACTCACGAGCTTCTCACACAAACATTTCAAAGTTGAATTTAGAATGAATTGCATATCAATTTCAAGCACATACTTAAGGATTACAAATTTCCATCAAACGAATCATAGAAAAAGAAAATAAGGATAAGAAGGAGGAAGATTGGCATATGCCTACATTCATATAACATGGGAAAGTCATTTCCAGGCATTGGCATGCACAACATACAAGTACAAAATGAGATATTAAGATACTGTTCTTTATTTTCTTTGTCTGCACAAAAAAAAAAAAACATAGGAAAAACTCAATCATAGCTAAAAATAACAAATCACATCAAATTTCGAAAAAGCGGATGATTAAAGTTGAATTTCAACAGAATTTAAAAGATATAAACTAATGCTGCTTTTGATGCAAGTTCAAATCAAAACCTCAAGATTTTTCGCTTCTCCCTCTTCAAATCCTTTTTATGAATCTTCTCTCCATCATCATAAAATTGCAGAATGTCTAAGTAGTTATTAAAACTTAGTCTATGTGTATTTTCTTCCTTAATTCCACTGAAAATGAAGTCATTGTTCTCTTCGTTGTTGTCCAATACCATATCATTCCTGAAAAAGAGATCAGGAATCAGTATAAGCATACTAATATACTAGTTTAAACATGACAAAAAGATAAAGGAATCAATTTTAACCCTAGAAACTTAAATAAAGTTCAAATAATTCTTCTTCGCACCTACTTCAAATCCATTATAGATTATTTTAAAATAATCATGTAGTAAAATAAAAACTTCAAAAGTCATCAAGTACCCGAAACCAGAGGAATGAGAAGAAACCAAGGACTCAAAATTAGAACCTTCATCATCTTCGGAACCTGAAGCTTTGAACAGAGATAATTTGATCAACTAAACGATAAATAATTGAAAAAAAAAAATCTGATTTTGACACCATAAAGCAGCAAAAGACAAACCAGAAGAAAAATAATTGAAAAAAGAAAATCTGATTTTGACACCATAAAGCTGCAAAAGACAAACCAGAAGAGATAATGGAATCACCACCCATATTGATATCTATTTCAAGCTGAGTCAACAATCTCACTAACAAAATAATACTAACAGCAGATCGTATGGCAATATTGATAGTACACCGTAGTTGGATTGATATTAACAGAAAATATAGGTAGTTACGTAGTTATAAGATATTTATATAATAACATAAATTTTGATATATATTAACAGATAATATAAAGTAGTTATCAGATATTTATTATATACAAGTATCGGATTTTAAGGAAAAATATACATGATTATCAGATATTTATAACACATAAATCTTGATATTAAGAGAAAATATAAATTGGTATCAGTATTTATATTAATTTGAGCTGATTCCGTTCAAATAAGTAATTTTTTTTATTACAAATAAAATTTTAATCTCATGTAGGAAGATGAGAATTTTAATATTAGTTTCAAAATTAATTTACAATTAGAAATATTTTAGAATATATAATGGTATTTTAAATTACAACGCAAGTTTATTTTTTTTATTAATCTTAATTTGTTTATAAAAATATTAAAATTTAAGATAAATTTTATTTAAAAAGAATATTGAAATTTAAAAGGTAATGTTAATTATTTAATAGTAATAAATATGATAAATATAATAATATGAAAAATTTATAAATGAATAAATACGTATACATGAAAAAATTAGTTTTATATATATAGTTTATAAAATAATTAAAATGTCTAAATGATGAGTTAGTACTATCAGTATTGCTTCACCAAATATAGTTTTTTTTAATAAAGTTTTTAGTATAGAAAGTAAACTCTTATAGACTTTATAAAAGTTATTCATCCTATATCATTAATCATGTTCGTTTATTTGATTTAATTTCACCAGTAATTATTATATGTCAAATTGATCCTATAAAATCAAAACTGCTAATATATTCAAAAGTCCTAATCAAATGTATTTGACTGGACAACTAGCTAGGACAAGTTGAATTACATTTGAATAGACAAAATTATTAGTAAAGAAATTTTGCTAAATTTCAGGGCAATAAAAATGACAATGGATTCTTGTATCAGCAATATAATGGATGAGTTGGTTAAATTTTATTCTTGAACGTAGATAACCGGGGGAGGTGGGTTCTATGTGCCTTATGAAAATTGTCAGGGGAGTGTTTGTACATATGAGATAAGGACATGGTTTTTATATGAGGGTAAGATGCAATGGTATGAAACTATGGTGGTTAAAGTGAAGAAAAATGGTTTGGGTGAGGCTATATCATAATCAAGTAGTGAATAAACATTCTTTTTTATATTTTTTCAAAGCTAGATGGTGTATTATTTTAATTGTATGAGAAATATTCTTGTATTTTTGTACTCTTATGGTATATAAGTTTATGGGGCAGATTGTGCTTTAAACTGGTTTTTAATAAAGTTGACACTATGCCTTACAAAAACTTGTTGGGGCAGATCAATCCTGACAACGATCAAAGTAGTTCATCGTTTCCTTAATACTTCTGGAACATCACCAACTAGTGCATCCTTTCCAACTAGCATACATCTATAATCATCTTTTGTGAAAATAGACAGTACATAATATTAATTCTTTCCAAATGAATATGCAACAGTATCTAGGTACAAAAGAATATATATGTTACAGTGATTTTCATGCGATACCAAAGTAAAACTGAAAGGCATTCCTGAATCAATTCACAAAATACATTGCATTCAGTCTCTGAATCATTCTTATGCATATCTAGAACTCAATAATTATCTTCCCAGTTGCATGACCATCAATACTCTTGCCCCAAGCATCTTCAGCCATGGTTATAGGATATTTGGAATCTACAACTGTTTTAAGTTTTCCTTCCTTGACTAAATCAATAAGATATTGAAGGTCCTTACCCTTGGGAAACAAAAACAAAGGCACAAGTTGCTTTTTGGAAAAGGTAAGTTTCTTCAGAGCAAATGTCAACATTGAAGCAGAGCTTGGAGTTATGTCTACAACCTTTCCATTCAAGGCCAAGTTAGGCTCAAAGGTGGACCAAGGAAAGCCCACTGCACAGTGAATCACAGCATCGTATTTCTTACCAGAGGGACTCTTCAAAGCAGCACCATCTGGGGTCTTATAGTCAATTACCTCATCAGCCCCTAAGCTTTTGACCAATTCAATGTTGCGAGCTCCACATGTTGCTGTCACGTGAGTGTTTCCTAGCTTTGCCAGTTGGACAGCATAGTGACCTACACCACCTGATGCAGCAGTGATCAAAATGTTTTTCCGCTCACCACTCCCATCAAGTTTGATCCCTATGGTTTTGGTGATTGCCTCGAGAGCTGTCAGACCTGCTACTGGTAATCCAGCACATTCTGATGCTGAGGTTTCTGATGGTCTTGATGCAGTGATGTTTTCCTTAACGACTGCAAACTCAGCCAGTCCTCCACCACTCTAACATGATAAAATTTCATGATTTATAAAACATGTCTTTTCTTTGATGAAGCTGCTTGATACTGGTAACATTTTTTGTATTATTCTATCATGCGTTGTCAAGTCAAATGCATGAATCACATATCTTAATAAAAAAAATGTACGTGTTCTTGTCTCCTGATTATAATTTAATAATAGGAGAGTGGGTGTAGATATAAATTGGGATAACTTTCCGATAAGTCAAATGTTTTTCAGTTACGAAGTCAGAATTCTAATTGTACTTTATGCAGATAGATAACTTTTGACAAATACCTCCATCAAATACTTATGTATTTAAGTAATGATATATATGTCTATGAATATAGTTAAGATTTGTTAATTAAATAATCAGTTTTAAATTTGAACAGAGATGAAAAAGCTGTAAAAGGAAGATTTAGGATGATATCATCATAAAGTGGAAGATCTAAAATTTCATGGGAATTCTCTTTTTAAAGTCTTATTGCTAGAAGAAGTTAGACACTAGTAGTATTCTTTTCAAGTGGACAAGAATTACAAAATAATAATGCTTGTGACAACTTACAAAGGGGTTGACAACGGCTACAACTTTGTCTCCAGGTTTGAACTTTCGTACACCTTTACCAACCTCCATGACCTCTCCTGATATATCAGTACCTATTACAGAATGTAATATCTTCAACGTAATAGTTGCATAAAGAGATGGAAAACATGGGATAAAGTAAAACTGTATATAATTTGGTAACCGCAAGTTGTAAACCATATTTAATCATCGAAAGACTGAAATATCCTCAGATTTATGTTCTTCACATAAAATGAGACAAGTATTAATCAAATTCTTGTCAAAGATAACTGACTTGCCTTAGATTTCTTTAAGTGAGAACATGTCCTGCTTAAATCTAAAATACTAAAATGTATGATCAAGATGAATACCTAAACAAGAGAGAGGAAAAGGAAAGCTACCAGGTATATATGGGAACTTGCGAGGCAAAAGTGGCCACAACATGCCTTTCTGTATTTTCCAATCAAATGGATTTAGACTAGCTGCTTCCAACTTATCAAAACCTCATCTTTACGGGGAGTGGGCAAGGAAACTTCAACATGCTGAAATAAGTATAAATTATGAACAGCATTCTTAATCTACTAATACTTTTTTATGTCATTGGTGATTTCTGAGCACATAAATTCAAACAAAATGCATTTCCTGCATCAGATTGAACTTTTTCTCAGGTAACAAATTAAGCGCGTACAGATAAAGTTCTTAGAGTGCATGCTAAAGATGAATCCACTGGAAAAGAATCTCATGGACAAGGGGCAAGGTAAAAGTTCGACTTGAAGATTCATCTAATTTGGTAGTTGATATCATATCAAAAGTTTTTTCTTATCCTCCATGAAAGATGGGAGAGTTTACTAAAGAGAGGAAAAAGGTACAAGTCTCTTTTCTTCCAAATAAGTCATCAATTTAACATACAGCATTTGATCAATTAGTAGAGACAGGCGATAACATGCTTTTCCAAGGAACATCATATAATACAGGAATTTTGATAACTAGAGTAGGTTCAGGACAAACAACGTTTTAGCCCAAACCAGATTTTTGGTTAGGAGAATAAATTCCCAAAGGAATTAAACAAAATATTGAATGACACAGCATGGGCCAAGTTCTAGAAAACCTTTAAGGCAGAAGGTCCTCCACCATAGCTTTCGTATTGAACCGCATGCATGAGCTTTCCCATTTGCACAGTTGAGAATTTGGGTGTGGAGTGTTGGTTGAAGTGCGAAGGAAGCAGAAAGTAGAAGAAAGACAAAGAAACATGCCAAAGGGTAAGGCGAGGATAGGAAGAAGACAAGTGGTGGCATCGCATCCATCAACGGGTTTTGCCGCGTCAAAAACCTAACATTCGTCGTCGCATAGGTTTAAACGTGATTAAGGAAGAGTACGTAAGGTACATAGGAAGAGTAGTTGCATGTTTGAAAATAAATATAAATACACAAATTATTTTATTTGTTATTAATAATTTTAGTATTATTTATTATATAATTAAAAGAAAACAATAAAAATGACTATAAGTGACCTATATTCATAATATTAGTACTTCATAATTACTTATATATGACTCATATCTATTTTAAATAATTTATATAATGAATAATTGTAAATTATGTAATATTTCGATATAAATTTTTACATTTTAATATTAAATATTTTTAATATTTAAATTAATATTATAAATAATATTTTTTTTTAATTTATTCAAAGTAAGTATGTTTGTTTATTATTATATTTTTTTCTTTTCACAAATTTTTTTATTCTTTCTCTCTCATTAATTATGTTTTATTTTTCTTTCTTCTCTCACTTACTGTTTTAAAAAATCAAATTAAACCGATCAATTCAACTGGTCTAATAGAAAATCGATCCATTATTTTTAAATAACTAAATTATAATTTAATCGAGATAAAATCAGAAAATTTTCAATCTTAATAAATAAATAAATAAGTTGAAGATCAAAATATTTTAACATAATTTTTTATATAAAAATATAATATATTTAATTTTTTATATTTTTTATTATATCAACTTTAAATAATAATTATTTTATTTTATTTAAACAATTATTCATTTTATATTCTTTAATATATTTTATATTTATAATTTTTATAAAAAAGTTGTTACTAAAATATTATTATATACTTATTATATTATAAATCCAGTTAAATCTTTAGATTTGAATCTGAATATGTGTATTCATCGATTATGTGATTGGTTTTAAAAACATTTTTTCAATCAGTTCTTCTAATTAAAAACATTCAGTTTAAATTTAATAAAAATAAGTTAAAATATATTTTTTAAAATTAACATACTAAATAGATATCAATTAACTATTTAATATTATGATGATATAATTGTATTTATTGATAGAAAATAATTAATTTAAAATTATTTTCTTAAAATAAATTAATTACTCATTTAATTAAAAAATATTAAATATTTAAGAATTGAATTTATATTTTTATTTAATATAATAAGATCATGAGTATATTGAATTACAATGATTAATCAGATTAAGAAATTAAAAAAATATTTATTAAAAAATTATTTTAAAATAAATATTGATTTTTTTAAAACATCTCAAAATTTATTATATAATATTTTCAAATATAATATATTAAATTATAATAATTATAGATAATTTAAATATTTTTATTTTTTAAAAATAATAAAAGATTCATTTTATTAAAATTTAAAATAATAAGATGGAGTAAGAGAATAATAAAAAATAAAATAAACATTAAATATAAAAATAGATAAATAAAAGTAAATAAAAAATTATATAATTTTATTTTCCATTATTCAAATAATTTTGTGTATAGAAAATGGTAAATAAATTTATAAAGATTTTATTTAAATATTTGTTAATATTTTATGAGGTTAATTTTATTTTTATTTTTTTCCTGTATTATACATTATGATTGCGATATCTATGGATTCTGGTGCACCATAATCCAAAAAACATAACTGCAAATAAGGACAGAGGAAGAAAAATGGTAGCCGACAGAAAATCATCACATCACAATTACGTCGGTGGACATGCATTCATATTATTTTATAATTATTTTATTTTTTATTTAAATATATATATATATATATATATTTATTTAAGTTAATTATAAATTATTTTTTCTCATATTTTTATTATTTTTTAAATATATAAATTTTAATAATTAATTTTTTTAATATAGTACTTTTATTTTTAAATTTTTATCTAATAACACTAAAAATAATTAAAAATTATTCTCTTTTTTTTTAGTTTTTCTATAACAAAAAAAATAGTATATATTCAATAAAATTAAATATAATTACTCTCCTTATTTAAAAATAATAGTTCTTCGTATGGTAACACATTAGTTAATAGGCTAAATTATAACAGGACTAATTCAACTATAACTCCCAGTCAATTCCTATAAATAAATAAAAAATATATATTATTTTCTTTTACATTAATTATATTTAATTACTCTAAATTATATGCAAAGGTATTATTGGCAAATAGTAATAAAAAACTGAAAGAAAAAAAATAGAAAACAGTTGTTTAGAATTGAGAAGATATATTTTATGAGAAAAACATGTACAAACAATTTTTTTTCAACCATGAAAATCATGACGTTCTTTTATTCTTAATTTTATAAAATATGTTTTACAATTTCTTTGAAAATGCATGCTTTTTTACATAATTATATATATATATATATATATATATATATATATATATATATATAATATCCACTTTATCTAAAGATAAAAAACTTATTTTCCATTTTTATTATTATTGTTTATTAATTTAGTAATATAAATAATAACTTATTTTGATTATTAGATTAAAAAACAAATAAATAAAGAAGATTAAAAATAAAACTCAAAATCTTATTCTTAAAATAAAATAAAAGGATTGTTTATGAATTTAAAATATTGAAAAATTATATTCTTTAAATTATAATATTACTATTTATCCCGATTTATAAATAGTTAAGTTTAAAAACTTATTTAAGCTTTATTTTTAATTTTCCCTTATTTTCATGGACAAATAGTTTGCTTTAAACTTTCAAGATAAAATGGTATTATGTTATCTTGCTCGTGCTGTTCATACCCACGGTGTTGCAGTTCAAATAAACGAACGAGAGTAAAAATTGCTACATTTCAAGGCAACAGAAATGCTAATAGTAGCACGAGGTATACCTAGGACCTTGTTGACACAGAAAACCCATCAATTATAAAAGCCTATTTAAAGCCTAACATTGTTATTGGGATGACGATAATACGGTGAGAGGGTTGGTGTTTAGTCCGTGAATCGCATAACCCGTCAAGCCGCCAACTAACTTGCGAGATAAGACGGTTTTTTCAATCTACATAATTACCAAAAAATAATTTTTTATTATAATAAAATTAATTATAAAAATAATATATAAAATTAAAGATTAAAAAAAAATTTAAAAAAATTTAAAATATTCTTCTTACTAAAACACAAGTTTCTTTTTTATTTTTCTTATTTATCCTAAATATTGATCATTCTTATCATTATGACTTTAATAAAAAATGTAAAAATTACTCAAGTGAGAACAATATGAAATTTCATCAAATAAAAAGATATAAGTATTTAAAATTTTCAATATAAAAAATATAAATTTTAACGTTATTTATATATATATATATATTTGTTATTATTTATTATTATGTAAATTTTATTATTGTTCTAAATTATAATTTCTTAAAACAATGTGTTGATTTATATTATTAAATTAAAATAATACATATATATATTTTTTAATTATTGACAAATAAATAATAATCTTATTATTAAATTTATTGAAAATTTTGATTTAAAAAAATAAATTATTTTTTTTTAAATTATGACGAGTCAACTCGTCAACCTCGTTCCTAGCAGGACTGACCAAGGTCTCTAGCTCGTTATGATTATAGCGGCCAACTCACCCCACCCCATTTTTTACGAACTAAAACGGAGCAGGCTGGCCGAGAATCCCTAATTGTTATATAAATTTAGATTATTAAAACTCATATATATATATATATATATATATATATGATTAATATTTAGTGTTTTATTATATTTTACTTTATATAAAGTATAAATAAATTATTATGAAAAGCTTATCCATATAGAAAAATATATTCAAAACCAAAAATCCAGCTGTAAAACTCATGCTATATCCAAAGTAACACTGCAACTTCCTGAATCAAATCATATAATCCAGTGTATTGAACTCATTACCATGCATATCTAGAACTCAATAATTATCTTCCCAGTTGCATGACCACTAATAATCTTAGCCCAGCCATCTTTAGTATTGACTAGAGGATATTTGGAGTCTATCACTGTTTTAAGCTTTCCTTCCTTGACCAAATCAGTGAGATATTGGAGGTCCTTACCCTTAGGAAATACAATCAAAGGAACAAGTTGTTTTGTGGAGAAGGTAAGCTTCTTCAAAGCAAATGTCAACAATGAAGCAAAGCTTGGAGTAATGTCTATAACCTTTCCATTCATGGTCAAGTTAGGCTCAAAGGTTGTCCAAGGAATGTCTACTGCACAATGAATCACAGCATCATATTTCTTACCAGATGGACTCTTCAAAGCAGCACCATCTGGGGTCTTATAGTCAATTACCTCATCAGCCCCTAAGCTTTTGACCAATTCAATGTTGCGAGCCCCACATGTTGCTGTCACATGAGTGTTTCCAAGCTTTGCTAGTTGGAGTGCATAGTGACCTACACCACCTGATGCAGCAGTGATCAAAATGTTTTTCCTTTTTCCACTCCCATCAAGTTTGATTCCTGCAGATTTGGTGATTGCCTGGAGTGCTGTCAGACCTGCTACAGGCAAGCCAACACACTCTGATGCTGTAGTTTCCAATCCTCTTGATGCAGTGACACTCTCCTTAGCAACAGCAAACTCAGCCAGTCCTCCACCACTCTACCATATTAAAATTTCATGAATCATTAAACATGTCTTTTCTATGATGAGGCTGGTTGATATTGGTAACATCTTGCATTATTCCATCATGTGTAGTCAAGTCAAATGCAAGAATCAGATAACTTAAATACAAAAATATGTGTTTTGTTTTCCTGATTATAACTTAAAAGACAAGAAGACTATAGATATAAATTATGCCTTCCGCAATAAATAATCTGTTTTTCTGTAACAAAACACCTGAATTCTACTTGCATATTATGGCTATATATAGTTTCAACATGTTATGTTTTGTTAATTAAATGATTCTTTTGAATATAAACGGAGAAGATAAAAGAAAGATTTCAGCATAAAGCAGAGGAAATGATATATTGATAGAAGAAATTAGACACTAGTAGTGTTCTTTTCAAGTGAATAGGGGCAAGAAAAATATAATACTTCAGATAACTTACGAAGGGGTTAACAAGGGCTACAACTTTGTCTCCAAGTTTGAACTTTCGGACTCCTTGACCAACTTCAATGACCTCTCCTGATATATCCATGCCTATTACAGAATGTAACATCTTCAACATGATATTCTCGATAGATTTGGAATAAACAAAAAAGTTAAAGTAAAGTAAATAATTTCCAAACTTAAGTTATGTATTGTGAACTTTATTGATGCAGTGACAAGATAAAGTGAACTATACTGTAACCACTGGATGATAAAGAGAACTATAAGGAATTTGATTTTCTTACTGGTCAACAATGTTTACATTTATAATTATTGAAAGTTGAAAACAAACTAAAAATAAAGAGATATAAATATTAGTAAGTAACTTACTTGCTCCTAATTTAAAAGTGTCAATATCTAACTACTATGGATTTATTTAGCAAAGTGAAACATAAAATGTAAAGTCACTCCTGCAATTACCATTAGAACATGCCATAAATTTCTGAAAATGGACATGCCCTGCTTAACTGAAAGATACTAAAATGTCTTTGATAAAAACGAATATATGTATAAATAGACAAGAGAGAGAAAAGGAAAGGAAGCTACCAGGTATATACGGGAACTTGCGAGGAAAAAGTGGCCATAACTTGCCTTTATGCACTTTCCAATCAAATGGATTTAGACTAGCTGCTTCCAACTTAATCAATACCTCATCCTTACTAAGAATGGGTAAGGGAACTTCAACATGCTGAAAAAGTACAAATTAGTCTACTAATACTTTTTTATTTCATGATACTTTCTGGGAACAAGCCTTCAAATAAATGCATTTCCTATATCAGATTGAACTTTTTATCAGGTAACACATTTGGCATGCAGAGAATGCTAGTTAAAGATAAATTCAAAGAGAGAATATGTAAGCTATATCTAATTTGATAGTGGACATCACACAATTAATATACTGTATTTGATCAGTTAGCAGTGACAGGGAGAAAGCAACATGCTTGTCCAAGCAACATCATATTAGTGCAGTAAATTTTGACAACAAAGGAGGTAATCCCTGGACAAACAATACACTCGTACGTCTAATGTCACTTGAGAATTAAGACCATGTAGTTTATAAACACCTTTTATCCTTAATCCATCAATATATCATTTAAAAATAAAACCACCTGTTTCAAAGAGAAAAAGGACTCCATATGTCAAAGTTTTGTCTGAGAAGAATCACTTACTCCAATTTTATCAAATGATCCACTCTCAGAAACATTGCAGGCAAATTACAAATCCTTGAGGATGAGTAATTGAACCAACCATAACATGAAAGAAAGAAAGTAACACAAAATTCTAACACAGAAAAGTTGTTGTTAAGGCATTGTGACATATATTAGGGTAACAATCAATCAATACAATATACAAATTAACACTATGGAAGAACATGAGATATTATGAACACCCATCAGATAGAGTGAGAGTTGAAAGAAAACCTTTAAGTCAGAAGGTTCTTCACCATAGCTATCGTACTGAATCGCATGCATGAATTTTCCCATATCAACCTCTGTTGAGAATGCAGGACAAAGTAGAGACTTTGGTTGGTGAGAAGAGAATAGACTTGGTTTGTTTCAAGGATTTGATTTGTCTGAAGTGAGAAAAATGTCTCTTATAGAATAAAAATGCAATAACAACGTTTATTACAAAATAAAAAATTATAATTAGTTTAAATTTTTATTCAATACCTGATATTATGACAATTTAAAATCAATGGTTTTCTAATCAACCACGATTATTATTTATGATGTTAGAATCCAATTATTCAACTGAAAAATTACTCAATAGATTTTTATTTTTATTTTAAAAATATAATAAATATTAAATATTTTGTATTTAATAATTCTAAATAGTCAACCACTAATATAGTGTATTATGTATTTCAATCATAAAATAGTGCGAAAATGATGAATGGTCAAAATCCAATAAAATCGATATTTAATAAAAAAGATTTAAAATTTATTATTTAGATGTTATTTTTAACTTTTTTTTAAGATAAAAAAGAAAGTATGTATCAATTTCTTCTCGAAACACATGTTATTTTTAAATAATATTAATATATATAATTGAACATAAATATTATGAAATATTTTATTTATCATTTCAGAGTAGTTGAATCCTTATAAATTATATTTTAAAAATATGCGTAATTTTAGTTAAAATTAATAAAAATATTTCTCAATTATTTTTAAACTAAGTTACCAAAATATTCTTATTTTTTTATAATGCATTAGTGTTTTTTGAACCAACTTATAAGAATCATTTGTTAATTTATTTAGTATATATTTTAATATTTACTCATCAAATTTAAGTATAAAATAATTTACTTTTTTTCTACACAGTATTATCAAATAATATACTTAGTATATTTGTTAATCTTTATTTACCATATTATTTCATCTAGTTCCTCATAGTTAATAGCATATTTAAATTAATTATTTCAAATTTCAACCATCAATCTTTCTATTAATTGGAAATTCTTATTTTGTACACTTTAACTTTAATCTTGAAAAACAATTATTCTCAGTTTAAAATAAGGATTTTAAAAGTAGTAAAAAAGGTTTTAAAAAGAAATAAATAAATACATATACTACTGGAAATACAAACATTGTGCCTGTTCATATCTTTTGTAATTTTTTAAAAATATTATTTTAACTTTTTTTCTACTTTTAGATATATTTCTTTCTTTCTTTTTCTGGTATTTTTACTATTTTTAAATATATAATAATAATAATAATAATTTTTTTAATATATTTATTTTTCTTTCTCCGATTACATGATTGAAAATATCTTTTATATATATATATATATATATATATATATATATATATATATATATATTAGTGAAAACATAAATATTAAAAAGTTTATGTATTTATATTTTTTATATTATTAATTTTTTTAACTTTTTATTTATTTTACTTTTATATGTGTTAAACGTTTTGTTTATTATTCTCACGTATCTCTTCTTCTTCAAAATATATAAATAATTTTTTTATTATTTTATTCTTTATATTTTTTATCATATGGAAAATTATATTATATTATATTTTTTTTAAAATTGATAAATACGTAAAAGATATTTTTTTCTCTTCCATCACTTTGACATATATATAAAAAAATCTAAAATTTTATTTTTTACTATATTTTTAAATTGAATATTTTTTATATATGAAAATGAAAAATTCTATCATTTATAATGGAAAAGAATATTTACAGCACTTTTTTTAACTTGTATTTCTGCTCATCAATTTTCTAAAAATAAGTCTTTTTAATATATATATTCTCAGTAGAACGTGATCTTGTATTATGTTTTACATGGAAAATTATTTTTTAAATTAAATTTTAAAAATTAGTTATAATTATAATCTAAAACTAAAAAATCTTAGATTATAGAAAAAACATTTTTCACTTTTTTTTACCGTGCAAGAATAGTCTAAACACTTTGTATTTTCATAATTTTTACATTCTTTTATTCTCTTCAAATGATAAATTAATCATCATTAACATGAGAAAATGCTAAAATTAATAATTATGAATTTAATAATGACTATTAATTAAATATTGACATCTTCTTACAATAATAATTATTATCAGATTTTCTGTTAGAATAAAAAGTCAACAATTACAATATACAGATGTTTGATTTTCTAATTTATATCATCAATTAGTGGCATTGGACTACTCTACGCAGTAGTAAATTCTCAAATAAAATCATTATGACTTCTAATAAAATATTTGATAATATTTCCATTTAGAATCAAATTATCCTCAACGTTAAGGTGGATTACACACTACTAATTATTTAGTTATGAAACAGATAAATGTAACTAATATTTCATTTTTAATATTTTAACACTAATTTTTCTGATAACTGCAATCTAAAAGGAATGCTTACATTTTAGTCCATATTCATTTATTATAATGAATAGTGAGTGTAAATATATCGATAATTTTAAAGAATAATAAGCAATGATAAAAAAATCATCCTAAAATAAGGACTTCATTATAATAAATAGTTTAAATTTGTCTTTCAAAAAATTTGGATACTGTATGCCTTATATATTTTATTAAATTATCAAAAAATTTCAATATTTCTATTTTCCACAATTAAATAATAAAATATATTCTCTAAGACCCACTTTCTATTAAATTTTGGAATCAAAGAATTAAGGTTCAAAGTCTTAGAATTTAAGGGTCAACAAAAATTATAAGGACCACTGGAAATAAAGGAATAGGTGCTCAAACAGATGCATATCTACATTTTCTACATTATAAGGACCAGTGGAATTTTATTTATTTTTTCTTTCCACCAAGTATACCTCCCAACCCAATATTTAACATAAAGTAGTAATAGTGAATTCGAAATTTGATCTATGTAATATGCTCAACTTATTGAAGGATAACAATAACAAAAAAATCAGTATAAATCTACTTGTCAAATAAAACTAACCAAACATTAAGTAAAAACAGTTCAAACTCTATAAAATCAAGGACGATTCAACCCATGTTTGCAAGTGCACATTTGCTTCAACAGGAATCCACGCGTAGGGGGGTTGGGGTGAAATTCATCCTCTTCAAACAGGGCAGAGATGGAATGTAACAAATAATGAGATTTGTGATAATATCAAAACAAATATCTGGAAGATTCTAGAATGTATTAAGATGAAATTTCTCATGTATTCATCAGTGTCTGTAACCGTATAACTAGAGAAAACAAACCAACTCAGTCTAGCAATCAAAACTTAAAAAATACATTAAGAGTAAAAAAAATAGTAAACATAACTATGAAAATTTGGATCAAGATCAAGCATCTGCAATGGTCACCTCAACCTCCACACCAGGTTCAATGGTGATAGAGGTAATTTGCTTAACCACGTCGGGGGAACTGTAGAGGTCAATGACTCTCTTGTGCACACGAAGTTCAAATCTGTCCCATGTGTTGGTACCTAAGACCAAGAAACAGTTTCATGAACACAAGGCATAATAATATCATTCCTTTAACAATAAGGACATGCAGAAAGTGTAGCCATTGAACAAATTACTTCAAAATCCAAGTTCCATAAGAACATATACGAATTCGGGCACCCAAAGTAAGAAGAGAAAACCAACACTTGTCAAGCTTTTAGCCCCATCAGAACTCTACCCATGTTTCAGGCAGTAAGAATGCTCATGCTCACAAGGTCACATACAAAATCAATTGCAGGATAATGAATGACAAAAAAGAACAATCCCGCAAGCCATATGCATAGGACAGTCTATTCATATCATATAGAACAAACATCACAATTTGTTGGAGAACTCTCTGATTAAGTGTCACATTTCATTCAATGAAAAGAAATTAAGAAAAATATAGATATTGAAAAAAAAAAAAATCTTCCACTTCATATTTTTAAGAATGAAAATCAATGACCAACCCCCGGAATTCATGTTCACAAACACAATATGACTCTGTCTTCCTTTTTCCTTCAAAATAATCCCCTCAAACTTTTCATTTACCACATTTTATTCCTTGCAAACTAAAAAATTCAGCAAAACTGGTAAAGAAAAGACAAGTCTTGAATTACTTAAATGATATATACAACAAGAAAAAATGCTCTCATTCTTGGTCCATACTTTATTATGACTTCTCTTAAACTAATTTTATCATGCACAAAGGAATTAAAAATCGCATCACATAGTAAAGCAAGATGAAGCAAACCAAAATGCAAAAGGAAACATAAATGAAAAGGAGAGTAAAAATACCTTCACCACAAGGGGATTTTCTTGTAGTGATGTTAAGAACCTTAGTGGGCATCCTAACAGGTCCCTTAACTCTGAGGCGCTTGTCCCTTGCACCGCGAACCAGGTCCGCACAAACTAACAAACAGTGATAGAAAAATTGAAACATAAGAATAGGGGTAGCATGAAAAGGAAAAGAAAAATGAATTGACGCATGAATACCCTTCTCGAGATTTTTGACGTGCTTGGAGGAAAGGGTGATCCTTATCTTGTGGATTTGTTCCTGGGATTCCTCAAAACCGGGCTTGGTTGGCTTCATTGCGGCGTACGCCATTTTCACACCGACGGAGAAGAGGGGAAGAAGGAGAAGCCGCTGCCTGTGAAGACGAGGGAGACGAAGGGATGTAGGGTTTTTATTTAGGACAAAAAAATAGTACAATGTTTTTGCAAATTAACCCCTACCAAATCATATTATTCCTTTACTTGCCCTAGGTAACTTAGTTGAAGTTATGATATATTTATAACTTAGTTATCATATATTTACAATTTTTTTTTACACCCCAATCCATTGAGACATTTAAAATATATAGTAATAGTAATCTATCATTATAGGAATTAATGCGAACACAGGTCTCATTAATTTTTTGGTATTATTAATTTAAAAAAAATTAGTTAAGGAGTATTTTAGTTAAACTTTTGGGAAACTTATAAAACAAATAATAACTTATTTTATATGAGATTTTTAAATATATTTTTTAAAACAGAAACTATAATAAAAATATATTATTTGTAGTACTAGTAACATTTAATAATTCAGCATCTCACAACAATTTTTTTATATAAAAATAAAATTTGATAATTAAAATAATTGATTGTATTAGAAAAACAAAGTTATAGAACTGCTATTATTCATCAAATAAAACAAAAAACAAATTAATAATTTCAAAATTGAATATAGATAATTTTTTTTTCAAATCAATCTAAATAACTCCATTAGCGAGAATAAGTCCACTTGTCCAAACACCAATATAAAACACGGATCCAGACAATTTAAGGGAGGCTAAAATATTAAATAAACTTTACCTCACAGACGTAGTTATTTTTAAATTTATATGAATTTTAAAATATATGGAAGAAAAAAATATAACCATTCTAAAGCAGTTAATGAAAAAGTATAATAAAAAATATTGGAAATTTTTACTCATTCAATACATAAAAAGTTATAGTTGAATTAATAAATTTTAATATAATTCTATTATACTATCACTAATTAAAAATTAATCATTTTAAAATAATTAGTATAATAATAAATAATTTTACTATATAATATTTTGAATAACGAAGTAGTATCATATTATATTAAAGAAAAAGTTAAATGATATTTTTTTTATTTCATTTAATTATTATTTTAATTTAAAATTTTTAAAGTAGGGTCATAAATATCAATATTAATTATATATCATGTTTATATAATGTTAGAAAACATGATCATTTAGTGTTATTTCATATTTTTTTCTTAGATAACTAAATGATATTAGCGAAACAAATTGCATTAACTTAAAGAAAATACATAGTACTAAAAATAGTAGGATAATTTTTTTATAAAAAGTGAAAAAAATATTTAAAAAGGAAAAAAACAAAATGCAAGAGGTGGCATATTTGTAAATTCCGATGAATCCGAGAGGATATTGGGAATACAAGATAATGTGTGGTAACGGATTTTTCCGTGGCCCAAATGAATTTCCTAGTATTGTTTGTTCTTTTCCTGCAAAGATCAATGTCTCAGTTTTTCAAGTTTCTCTCCCACCTATAATGGGGTCTCCTTGTTGAATGATCCACCAATAAAAATATCTCAGTCTTTGTGGCAAAGTTTCAGCAGAAAGGTACAAACTTTCCACGTTTGAAGAGAAGGTAAGTGAGGGGTATTATGGCACAGTTCACTACGCAGGGTCGCCTGAAGCTGCTCTTCAATGGGGAGGGCGTGTTTTCCATTTTGGAGCACAAGGACCCTTTTCTCTATAAGTGCAGATCAGTTCAGACCCACAAGCGGAGAACAAGATACATAGGTTCTTCAGCTAGGATTTACTATGCTTCAACATCATCTCTGTATAATAAAAGCAACCGCTGTAATGCGGGGCCCCGCTCCACTGCTGGCAATGGGAGTGTTCATGATGAATATGATGATGAGGAGGAGGAGGAGGATGAAGATGATGATTGTGATGAGGAGGATGATGATGTGTTTGACCGAGATGGTTTGTCTTGCTTCCGGGGTTTGGTGTTGGATATAGCTTACAGGTCACTTTTTGTTCTTGCTAAATTTTACATTTTTGTGACTATTACTATGCATACACAGCAATAATATTTGTGCTTTTTACGTTTTACAGGGATTGGGAAAGTTCATTTGGGGTTTTGCACCTCAGGGTGGTCTTATACTTTTATAATTCATGTTTCTGTACTTTGTTGATTCTTAACCATTCCAGCTGGTTTGATAGTATGGTTTTGGTAGCTGTTGTATCTGTAGGAAAATTGACTTGGTGCTTTGGAAGTTTTGTGATAAGCTGTTGATTGTGATTTATTGTGCTATTTGGAGTGCTGGTAATAAATAATTCCTTTATTAGGGGAAGTCTCGATGGAAAAATTACGAGAAACAATGGGTTTGATTAATTGCCATTTACCAAATAGAAGGCTTTGTGAGTATACAGAGATGTATAAATGCATACTCTGCCATCGATGATAGATGCATTCCTTACATTTTTAGCTTTACATATTTGCCCACTTTAGTTTGGGCTGGACTTGACTTTACCTCAAGAGTTAATTCCTGAGGTAAAGTGGGATCTCAACACACTCCTGTTCAATGTCATGACTATGATAGGTTTTAATACCATCTCGAGTTTGAACTGAACTTAACAGCACCCCAAAAAGCTAGCTCAAGTGGTGAGGATTACCTAAGTCTTTGTAAGCTCTACTTCAGTCATATTTTTAGTTGATGTGAGATCTCAATGTGTATTTTATCTTTGAGTGACTATTTTTATGACATATTATTTGTTGTTTACTGTGGAAAATTCAGGATCACTATTTAGGAGCATTTGCATTATTTGTGATGTGGGTTCTACACACACATGTTTGTATTTGTCACTATTTATTTTTATTGTTTTTTCAATCAAGATAAGTACAAGAACCTAGATTGATAACGAGTTGATCAACTCTGGATGCTTTCGAAACTATATGGTGTAATCACTTCCTGCCAGTTATCAATTTTTCAGGGATGAAATAGTGTATACTTTATAGCCTCAGTGTTTAGTGTGTGAGAATAGTATGAAATTGTGACGATTTATTTTCTCTTGTATAGTCACCAATATCAAGACACCTGCTCAGTTGTTTGCTTATGGTTCTGACTGCTGTCATCCTGCTCCAGGCCAGTAAATGTCGTAGGCTGGAAACGTGCTATATGTTTGGAGTTTATGGAGAAGGTCAGATATTTTCACTCAACCTTTTCATTTGGTATGTTAATTATTGTGTGCAATATACCTATTTAATGTATGCTATCTTTTTTTGTTTGACATGAATATGTGTAAAGTTTAACAAAACCTTGGTTGATACTTGACTAAGTGGTGCCCTCTCATTTGCATAATGATTGGTGCCATTTCTTAATGCATATATCATTTCCAGAAGTAGAGTGTATCTCTGAACTAAGCTTCCCTTTGTTTGCTTTTTGGTTCAATGTGTAATCTGAACTTGATTTGTTCCCAGGCCTGTTGGTCAGTTTACACATACCAAGATACAGACACAAATACTGATTCCGGCTACAATTTTTTACTCTCCCTTTCTTCTTTTTAAACAAACTCTGAAATGTGGTTATTATGTTTTGAAATGTCACTTTTTCAGGCCGATGTACTGGAGTATTATGCTAAGACAGTGAACTCTCCTAGTGGATCTTTCTATATACCGGCTGTCTTAAGGGTATGCACAACATAATGCTTTTGGTTTATAATATTCCTGGGGCTTGGCCACCATTCTAGTAAAACCAGTGGGTCTACTTTACTATCAGCATGTATATTTTGTATTTTATTATAAATGAATATTAAGCAAATGGCTATTGCTGAAATTTTTTATGCTATTTGTCTGGTGATTGGTACAGGTTCCTCATTTACTTCAGGTTGTTAAAAGAAGAATAGTCAAGAGCAATCTTAGTAGAAAAAATATACTATTTCGGGACAATTACACCTGTCAGTAAGTATATTATGTTGCGGGTTCCTAACATCATGTATAGATCATCAGAATTGCAAATACAGCAGCATATTATGTTGATGAATGACATCCATGGTGTTAAGTGTTAACAATTTAGTCAGGGACAAGACTTTAAAATCTGGAAATATGTGTAAGGCCAACTTTGTTATATAGGTCGAAGTGCATACTCCTGGAAAAAGCCCAACTGGCCTTGCTTTCAGTTATGCAATTTAAGCTTATGCTCACATTAAACTATCGCAGTAAGGAAGTCCTAGAAGTTGTTTTTGTTTTATACTTTAAAAGGAACGATTCTCCATTTGTGGGAGACGTGAGACCTAGAAAAGAATTCCCTGCTCCTTTAATTTCAGGTGTAAAAATACATCTATTGAAATGAGCATCAATTTGCCGAACATTAACCCAAATCCAACATAATTCATTTACTTTGTAGTTTATGAGAATAAGCTAGTCTGAATTATTACGTATAAATTGTTTCTTATGGAAGCCCTTAGCAAACATGAGACTGTTGCTTGCTCTGTAATGGAGAACCATGTATAGTGGATGTAACCCCTTCTCAACATTTCATGCTTGTGGAGTAATAATGACTCAAACCAAAAACAGAATCAGGCAGAAGAAAACAAAGACTTTATTTATATAATCGGATTGAGCAGAAAATAAGAGAAAGATCTTCTTTCTCCAAGTAACTTGCTAGTTATTGTAACTATCCTAACTCCTAATAAATCATCAGTCAGAAGCAGCTTCCTGTATTTTACCTTTTGTTATAGCTTTCCTATGAAATTACCAAGAGCATAAAGATGAAATGGTGATCTTGCCTTAAGTAATTAGGTTACATGAGATACCAGTCCTTGCACTGATATGATATGACCTTCTCAACAGGTATTGCTCTTCCCGTGAGAATTTGACCATTGATCATGTTGTGCCTGCTGCGCTAGGTGGAGAATGGACATGGGAAAATTTAGTAAGATAATCTTTTATGCATATACAAAATACTCTTGGAAACTAAATAATAAACACGTCCCACTTGTAACATAAAGACAAGATTCATCCTAACTTAAAAAGTAGAGTTAGAATTACAGCCTAGTTGTTCTTTATTGTAAATTGCATTTGTATTTATATTTTCTATGTAATTATTACGTGTATATATCCCTAGGCTGAATTGTTTTTCACTCAAGCAAAGTTCAGACTTGTATTCTCTCAAAAGATTTTATCCTCCCTAAGAATTTTATGACTGGGTTAATCCCAATCTCAATCCCATTATGCCTGGCGCATCTATCCATTGCCAAGGCTGAATCTCAGTCCCACATTCAGTTTTCCTATGACTTGCCTTATTTACTGCCTCTCCTGGGAATTTATGGCCAACCTTTGAATTCTCCTCACCAGAATTCATCTTTGCTCTCAACAGTTTTGCTGAAGCACTGATCACAGCACTATTTGTTCATACTGTTCACCAGTCGCCTTCCAGAGGCTGTTTTCTGTGTCTGTTATCTGATCATCGTTTGCTATTCAATTTTGAGAGTCGGTTATTGTGCTCATCATTGGTCATGTTTGTCATCATTTACTTCTACACTTCTGCCCCTATTGCGTTACAGTTGTTGAATACATTCTAATGGCTTTTGGACCAAGTCCAATCTTTGATCCCTCCAACATTCTGTTATATAATGGATAAAAGGAATACTTTCAACTTAAAAGAGCTCAATCAAGATCATATTTTATTGCTGTAGTGTAGTACATACGAGTAATTCTACAAAGTTCTCTCATTCTATGCCTGGTGGGTCCTGACTTTTGGATTCTGGTGCTTTTGATCACAATGCTAGCATTCCTTCTCTTTTCTCAAAATTTTCATCAACCAAATCTTCTCATTTCATATTCCTTGGGGATGTTTCAAAGGCTAAAGCCATTTTGAATTGGTCAAACTGTATCTCTTCCTTCATTAACTTTGAATTCCGTTCTTTCTATACTTAGGTGCCCTTTTCACTTAATTTCCAGAAGTCAACTTACTAGCACGCTTACTTGTTCCATAACCTCTTTTACAGAGTCTTTTTCATATGCAGAATTAGGTAAACAGAAACTAAAATTGGCATAGGCTTCGAATCACATGGACTCAACTATCTTCAACCTCCATCATCTAACATAGGCACTATTTTAGCATCAGTTAAATTAAACAATTCAAAATAATGATTCCTTGCCTCTCTTGTTTACACCTTTTTGAATGTGAGACTTGTCAACTTGAGCAATATGTTCGGGCTACTTTCCTAAGAACGGAAAATAGTCAGTTAGATCCTCCCTTCAATATTGTGCATTCAAATTTTGGAGTCCTAGTCCTGTTAGTTATATCTGAGGTTACATACATTTTTTTTTTCTTTCATTGACACTTTCTCAAGATGAACTTAGATATTTTGATGGAAAATCATTTTGAAATGTTTGGTTTTTCAAAATTTGTGTCTTCATACTCCATTCTGGCAAACTATCTGGATTTTTTCGTGGTGACCATTCCAGAGTATTTTTGACAAATCTTCAATTCTTTTGTGTCTTCCTATCTATTCCAGAGTATTTGTTATCACTATGGGATTTTGTTGCTCACTCATTACTGATCAGCTTTGTCGCTGACATATGGATCTAGAACTCACAGTATTTGCTGATGACAGGTGACTGCTTGTGCTAAATGCAACAGCAAAAAGGGTAAAAAAACTTTGGAGGAAGCAAAAATGAAGTTGATCAAAGTCCCAAAGGTACCACCTACTTAACTAGCTACAACATACATGCTTTCTTCCTATGATGACTTGGCATAATTCATGAAAGAGCAACATGATGGGTACCAAGAATGGGTTGCCAATGTTAAAATTCCAACTTTCAATTAGTTGTTTGATTGAAACATACTCATGCGTTTCAATGTTTCCTTTTTCACGATTAATTAAAATGTTACTCTTGTAATTCAGGCCCCAAAGGACTATGACATTCTTGCCATACCTCTAACTGCCGCAGCCCTAAGAATGCTGTCATTAAGAAAAGGAACACCTGAAGAATGGCGTCAGTATCTGAGGTCTCCTTGAGTTAACCTTGGTGATAGTTGTATAGTCGTGTATCCCATGTCATGAACACTGAATTTATCCTTGCTCACCCCCCAAAACAACAAAAAGAAATTGAAGAAAAAAATCCTGATTTTTAGGTTATTTTAAGATACTTCAACTTTATAAAGAAATTCAATTTAAACAATGCTCTTCATCCCAATGATTGAGTAGAACCTATGCATATTAGTTCCAGTCTGAATGAAGAAATATATTAACATTACCAGACCTTTTCCACTTGGAGGATTTGGTTTTGTAGCTGCTTGTAAATATGTAACTAATCCATTCTCAGATTTTACCACTCATGAATTATGTTTGTTTAACCTTGTGACTTAGAATTGGTTATCATTAGCATCCAGTAAGCTTGGAGGCCTGTCCTAACTTTGAGTAAAGAAACCATCTCATTGTAAACTTTGAATTATTCACCTCCAAAAATTGAAAATTGAAATTATCTTGCTTTTTTTCAAGATATAGTAATGGGGTCACCTTGTGATGTCTTTAGTGCACCCACATTCAATTTCATATTAGATGAGAATGAAGAGTTGGTGCAAGATCCGTACTAGTAAGTAATGCATGTCCTGAGCAAAACCTAAACAACATATATTGTTGATATTGATTTTGAGGGTTTAATGCTACTTCCACAAGTTTAACAATCCAAATGTAATCATAACTCACAATCATGATATAAGTAGACATTATTTTAGGCTAAATAGTTGTTGTTCCACTAATTTTTTTATTTTTTTCAATTTGGTCTTATTATTATTTTTATTATCAATTTAATATTTTTTTAAGTAAATCAATTTAGTCTTTTCTACTAATTTCTTTAAGTAATTTAATTGAAATAGTTATATGATATTAATGTGACCATGGATATTGATATAGTGCGCACCGATAAACTTACAGCCCAAATGATATTATTGATAACATGTCTGATGTGCTAATATGTACGATAGTGTCATATAAATTAGATCAAATTTATTTATTTAAAAAAATTGAAACTAAATTGGTAGTAAAATTAAAAAAGAAAAGGAAAGAAAACTTTTTAACGTTATTTTTTCTTTAAATCTTAATAACGGATGATATTAAAATGATTAATTTTGTGGGTTATTCAATAAGACTAGTATCTAATCACATCAAGCAAATGTTGGTAATAGGCATTTTTCTTAACCGTCTTAATGCATAACATTTTTGGAAACAGAAGGTTTGGTAGAAGAGCAATCAAATGAATTCAAAACGAAACAAGATATGTTTAGCACCATGGAGATGTAGAGTTCTTAGCATGCTTTAGTACACCATGTTCAGTCTGAAGTTTCAAAATGGTATTTTCAGACATGACAAATGTCCCCTAAATTTTAAATGTTTGCCCAGTATGAGTCTCCTGTTCTGGTACTGCACATGGTTGTGTTTCAATGGAGCAACTTGTGTTCATCTGCAAATAGCAACACTATTATGCATTGGTTCAGGAAATGGACCTAACACATGACAAGTATTTATGCAGTAGAGACAGATATTATTATTGGACAAAACTTGGATACATTTTTCAAAGTGTTTCTGGTACTGTTCTTCCATCACAATTGAGTTTCAACTTGATAACCATGTAATAAAGGCTTACAATAAAGGTCGACATAAATTACAAGATAAAATTGTAATTTTTTATTATTAGTCTATTTATGTAGTACTTCAGAGGCCAATGCAAATAAATATGAAACCTTGCATAGATACAGGTGAACTTTTTTTTTCCTAATTTAAATTCTAAAACTATTTCCAAAACGTTCAACGGCTCTGACAAGTCTTTAGATTATGATTTTGATATAAATTTATATCCCTTTATTATTTGACTAGTATTTTAGCCTATGTAATGAGTGCAATTGATAAAAAAGTAATTTTATATGACTAAAATGTATGATAAATAAATATTTTGAATGTATACATTACATACAATGATTAAAATTTGTAATAAATACTATTTTGATGTAATGGTAAATGCAGAATCCATTAGAGCAGGGGTGTGAAAAATGACAAGGGAAAATAATTTGAGGCACCTCCACTTTGTGAACAGAAGATTGGTGTAGAAAATGAAAGGTGGGTTTGGTTTGGTGTGGTTATAATTAAACTGTGTTGGTGTAGAAATGACAAGGATTGCAAATAAATAGCACATCTCAAGGAAAAGGAAAAGGAAATGAGAGGAGTTTGAAAGTTGCATAGCATGTGGCACAGCAGCACAGGACTTTCCAGCAGATTGATGGATCATCAAACACAATCCATCCTAATTCCAACAAATCCAATTATCCATGCCTCAGGTGGGGACACTTTCCTTTCCCACATTACATGTTCTTTAGTAATACACTTTTTACAAAACAATATCAATGAGATCACTTATAATTTTATCAGTTTCAACAAACTTACATAAAATTGTTTTGACTGTTACTGAGAACAAAAACTATTCTACATGGCCTAATCCTATTCAACTTTTGAATATATATATATATATATATATATATATATATATATATATATATATATATATATATATGTGACCCTGCCAATAAAGAGTGTTACCTAACATTATTTATTCATTCATTGGGATAATTTCCTTGAATCCCTGTCACCACTCAACTGATGAAATTATTGCTTGCGGTGCCCCTCATTTGTACAGTCAAGAGTCATGATTCATAAGACCTCATTCAGTCCCATTTCCAATCAGACTAGGGAATAGTGTTCCCTTCATTATTTAGATGTGCCCTTTTTATTCCAACTCATGGCACTCAAGAAATCAAGCTAAAACTCTCAGCCATGAGATGAGAGAGATAATGTAGCCAAGTTAAAGCATAAGATGTCACTCACTTGCTGAACTCTTTTAAATGCAGTTTGATGGTTGTGTGTACCATGTGTATGTCTGGTCACTTGCAGTGACCGAAAACCAGGGTTCATGCTTCATTTTCAAGCATTTGGTGGGTGGTGGCTTAAGTACTGGCTACTTGTTCAACCAAATTGTGTTTGCAGCTGGAATATTTGTGGGGCCTACTGCTCTTGTGACCATGACCAAGTTGCATGCATCATCAATCAATGACTGATAATACAAGAATGGGTATTATTGTGGTTGATTGGAGATTGAACCCTTTTGTTTAGACAGCATAGCATGGGGAGAGTTTGGATGCGAAGAGAACAAAGGCCCATTGGTTATGTGCTATATACAAGAAAGCTAAATACAAATCACTATTAGGTTTTATGGGGAGATTGAACTCTTTTTAAAAATGTTATTTATAAGAACTATTGAAATTATTTGTATTAAGTTTGTTATGTTACTCTCTGGGTTCAGTTTTCAAGCTGGTTCTTTCAAGATCATTCATTTTCAATTAATTACTCATCCAACTTTGGGCCCACCATAATCCATCATGCACATATTGGTGGTGGAATTTCATTTTGTTTTAATTCTTTAGTTGTGAAGCAATCAATCAGAAACCATTGTAATTCGGCTTTCGTGGCAGTCATCAAATTCAAATATGCATTCATTCATAAGTTTGTAACGTGAAACCTTGACCCTTTATATATACTTCTCTGAAGCTAGTTTTCAGTCACTTATAATTTTACACAATGCTTTAAAATTGCAGATATATATATTAATCATAATCATAAATGAGTGTAGTTATAGTTTTGGAAGATAGAAAAATATTGTTTTAGAAGCAACATCTTATGATTAGGATAGATAGATTGGACATCATATGGATTCATGGAATATAAATATTTGTTCTTTCCATCTCTTTTCATTATATTAATAATGTTGTTATATATCTATTTTTGTTGTCTCCTTAGGCCTCTTATGTGCATAATTGATCCAAATATAATGTTGCACTTTCACCACAAAATTGTAATTTTCCCTTGTTGGTATGTTTAGTATGGTCTCTGTATCTGTAAAATTTACCTTCCCTCCCTGTGATAGGACCACAAAATTGAAGGCACTAAAACTTGGCAAAAGTTAAAAGATTTTGGAAGAATCTGAATGTTAAAACATTTAAAATGAATCTGAAACTGGCAGAACCAGTCTGTGCCCTGCTCTCTTGGACTCTTCCAATGCATCTTTTGAGATGTTAAGCAAAGCAAAAGTGAAAGCGGGGCATCTAATAGTTACTTCTGTCTGCAAAGCTAACTGCACTCTTAATATTTTACCCTCAAACCGAAGGAAAATTTCCAAAAGAAATTAGCAACTTTATTTTGCTTGATGAAGAAACAAAATATTGTAGTTTATTCTATTTGCATGCAAAAGGAAGAAAAAGCATGGGAAGAACAGAAGAGGAAAATACCAAAGGTAAGTAACGAATATACAAATAACTAACTAAATTGTGTTTTGGGGTAAACAAGGTTAATGTGAGATGAGAGATGGTGATTGGTGTGTGTCTGCATGAGATAGTGATGTGAGCTTTCTCAGTGATAATTTTGATTTGTTTTCTTTTTGCTTTTAATCTTTTATCTGCCGACAAAAAACCAAGAGCCATATTAATAAATGGTGCCCTGAGACAAACGTTGAGTTCTAACTTGGAACACCAATTTTGACTCTCTCTCTTTCTCTCTCTCTATCTATTTCTATTTCTTCTCTTTCACTCCCCTCTCTTATTGCTTCTAAATTACACACTCTTAAGTTTTAGCCTTATGAACATGGATATGTGCCAAAATGTATCAGTTTCCGGTGAATGCCACCAAGGACAGTTCCTTGCCCCTTCTTGCTCAAGCAGCCTTGAGGACCTCTTCTCTGCTCAGAACACGGTCAGTGTGTCACTTTAATGCTGCCTTCTTCATTTTGACCTTATCTTTTTTCTGCTTTTGGGACTGTTCTAGCTTAATTCCCTTGACCCTCACAGTTCTTGGCAATTTCTACTACCATGGTTTCTTTCTTGGTTTGAGAAAGTGGTTCTTTTATTTTGGCGAACTATTTCTTTACCAAGTTTGTAGCTTTACCTCTCAAGCTATGCTTTGTGGTGTATTTAAGTGTTTATATAGTCCTTTCTGATATGTTGTTCTTACTAAATTGTGAATTCTTTCACCAAACATGTGTAGGAAGTGGATGTTGATTTGGAGTGGCTTTCAGAGTTTGTTGAAGACTGCTTTTCAAGCCCCCCAAGCTTTGTCTTGGTACCTTCTGGAGTAAAGACCACAAGCACAACAACAAGTATCAACCCTTCTTCAGGCACATTGAAGAGACCCCTACAAAATGAGTCTCCTCTGCAGAATTTTGCTGTTCCTGGGAAGGCCAGGAGCAAAAGGAAAAGGCTTTCAGCCCCTAGAACCAAGGACCCTTTAAGTATATGGTCACACCATTTGAACCCCCAAAATGAAGCCTTGAATTCTGACCCTCCTCTTCTCAAACAGGCTTACTGGTTGGCTGACAGTGAACTGATTATGCCTAAGCCAAAGGAGGGGCAAGAAGAAGTGACCAAAGTGGCTGGAGAAGTGGTGGAGAAGGAGATTGTGATTAAGAAGGAAAGCTTTGGGGACTCTGAGCTTGAAGGTAGCAATGGTCAACAACCAATGCCAAGGAGGTGCACCCATTGCTTGGCTCAGAGGACCCCACAGTGGAGGGCAGGACCATTAGGGCCAAAGACACTTTGCAATGCATGTGGAGTGAGGTATAAGTCTGGTAGATTGCTACCAGAGTATAGGCCAGCCAAGAGTCCTACTTTTGTTAGCTATTTGCATTCCAATTCCCACAAGAAAGTCATGGAGATGAGGATGGCTGTTTATTCTTCCATTTCTAGTGAGCAGTAGTGGTTGTTAGCCATATATTTTTATGTAAATCAAACTTCAAATGTTAGGAACAAACTATTTGGAAACAGAGATACTATTTAAGTGGAGTGATTAGTGCTATGATTGATTTTACAGGCACATTTATCCTTCCCTTCCTTCAAGTCATTTCCATTGCACTTTTTTCAACATATTCTTCACTGTTGATTAAATTTATTAAAACTGATAAAATTGAAAGAAAGTGACATACAAATAATGAAGAGTGTGCTGTAAACATTTATCCTTTTCCTTTTACGAAGGGAATGTACAATACAAGTCAAGATAAACCCATTGGTTTCAAGTCTAAACCTTTGTCAATTCTCAATGGTATCTTTATATTTGTATTTTCTACTATAAGATTACGATAAAAGTAGAACCAAAAGCAAAGAATATATATACAGATAATACAAAGGATACGTATGTGATTACTGAACCATTTCCAATGTGAAGGGTTTAGTTAGGCTGAGTTATGGCACATCCTTGGCTTTGCCCTTCTTTCCCATTTTGCTTTGGCCATTTCTACCTTTGAATATTTCTTTTAAACAACAAAGACGTGAAATTTGTTCCAAAGGGTATCGTATTCTGTCAGTATAAGCATGTGGGAGAGGTTTTAATTTATTGATACTATGCAGTTGGCATGCACTATGACAGAGAGAGAAGATAAGGTCATCCATTACGAAATATGCACATGCACGTGACTTTCAAATTCTTAAGACTCTCATGAAGCTAAACAAAATCGAAGATGACGAGAATTCCTCAAATTTCATTATTTTATTCTTCTGCGTTACTATGATTTGATTCCATTTCTAAAAATAGGACATGTATGGGAAACAGGTTTTTCAAGAAATTCTTGTCCTCCTGCACCCTCCAATCCATTATATTCGACCCACAAGGTTTTCTACGAATTTCATTCAAATGTGTTTCATATTTTTTGGTTATGAAAGAGATAATCATATTCAAATTGGTGAAATTTTGAATAAAGTCAAATTCAATGTTTATGACAACACTCCATTTATATAGCGCTTTAATTAATTTAAATTTTGAAAGGAACTACATTTTTCAGGCTAACGATAAAACGTTGCAACTTTAAATTATTCAAATGAAAGATAAAATTAAATAGAATTGAAGTTGTGAATCATTTAAAAAGTCAAATCATCTATTAATGAAACAGGACAAGAATATTCAAATACATTTGAAAATAAAATAAAATTACACATTAATAAAACTTTTCTTTCTACAATTAGTTATATATACTAGGAATAATTGGGTTCAAAAAGATTAAGAACGATAAAAGTCAACGAATTTTGGATTTCTTATCATTTTTTTCAAAAATAAAAGAACATTCAGGATATAATTAGCAAGGGTTTGGGAAGATTTACACTTACAAAAAAAAAATTTGCCCCACATAAATTTTTAATTTACTTTCATATTGTTCTAAATAAATTTGTTTTCCACTTTGATCCTAATAAAACAAAGTAATCTTTGTATCAATTTCATATTTTATTTGTTGTTGTACAAAGAAATAACATATTGTGTATTATTTTTACTTCTTTGTTATATGAAGAGTATTTTAACACTACACAAAAACCACTTTTCATAAAGCTTTTGACTTCTTTGAAAGTTAAGATCTTATCATTGGTAGATTTTTCATGCTACAAGATCTTATTAGTTAGTAATTGTTAAGTGCTTCAACATTTATGTTTTTTAATAGGTCATTTTTGCATCATAGTACTCAAGATTTTAATCTACACTAAACATTATTCTGAAAATTTATATTTATTATCTATCCATAATCCAACTTATATTGTTCATGATAATTTTCTTGCTTTTTTTTAATAGCTTTTCACAACGAAAGGGATTATAAGATTACAAAATTTGTCTATTTTTAAAAATTTTGGCCATCATAGCCCATTGAAATTTTCAATATAATATATTGATGACTTCAAAATCAACACTTCCATCATCAATAATTTTTCTCCCTTTAATAACCCTTTTGTCTGCTAACACTTTAGTGATGATTTTGAAGTTGAATTTTGTTAAAGATAATTGGTATGAGATTCTAAACTCTATTCACACCATGAAACTTAGGTACAATAGACACAATATTAACATTTATTTCACGAAGAATCTAGTTATTTAAGAAAAATTGTAAAACAAAATTATGACAGAAACCCTAAACATTATACTAAAAATAACTTCACAAAATATGTCAAAACCGTTTAAGATGGTTATCAGAAACATAACTATTAGAAAAAAAATATTAAATATGAGATTTAATATTCTCCCATAAAACATTATCACCATTATCTATACCATAGATTTGTTTTGTTTAACAAATCATTTATAGACATTTTTTATTTTATTCATAAAACTTTTGAAGTTATATATTTATGTAATGCGAATAATATAATCTTTAAATATATTTGTTAATATCTAGGTGGTTATTAATTTATTTTCTTTAAAAAGTGAACATATTCTTAAAAAGAAATGTTTGATTAATGAGATGATTAAATTTAATTTAAAAAGTGCATTAGTGATTAACAAAATATGGTATTAATATTGCTAAAGTTATTAAATAATATCATCAAAATTATAAAATAACTAATTAGTTATATGAGTCAATTATATGATATGTGGTATAGAGGAAAAGAAAACAAAATTTATACATTTAAAGAAAGTTTTTTATGTGTTGAAGTAAATATCAACAATGTGACATAAGAAATTTATACAATATTGACCATATACCATAACTTCATTACTTAAAATTTTAAATTAATATAATATCAAACCTCTAAGAGACTTTATGAAATGTTTAAAGAGGTTAGTTTAACAATTCAAGATCTACCTCCAAAAATTATAATGCATATATAATGATGACACAACTTTGCAGAGATCATTTTCTAAAAAAAAATAAAATTGACAATATATCGCCATAAATACAAACCAAGAAAATCTTATTACAAGAAATTTCCTTTAAAAAACCAGTAACATTGTCACCACTGTCATATACATCTCTAGCTTCACAAACACGGCAAAATTTTGCCATAATTTTTATGATTATTGTTAAGGTTCCAACATAAAACCAATTGACAATACGTGGAGTAGTCTAACATGTATTTGGGACTTTCAACACACCCCCTCCAACGAAGCCTGGACCAGGCAAATGGTACTTTTGACCCAACTAAAGGACAACTTTTTGCCCATGACAATAACATGAAAGATGTTAGGTTTTGGCTCTGATACCATGTTAAGGTTCCAACATAAAACCAATTAGCAATATGTGGAGTAGCCTAACATGTATTTAAACTATACCAAATGACATGAGTTAGATGATATAGGACTTTCAACAATTATATTAGGAAGCATGTTGGATATATTTGAAGACTTAATCTAATAAGACATTTAAGATGATTTATTCAATCAAATGAAAATTGAGGATATAAAGACAAAGGTTAAGGAATTTGAAGAGGGTAAGGTTGGAGATACAATAACAAAGTCAACAACCTCAATTCAAAACCAATTTGCAAGTAAGGTAATAAATTAACTAGAATATAAAAGAAGTGACAAATACTATCGTAGAAAGTTTCGCCATCAAAGGAAACACAAGTTTGATAAGAAAGGAACATCTCATCTAGCGTTAGATCTTTGACCAATTATGTTTTTTAGAGTAAATATCATATTATTAATAAATGAAGATGAAAAAATAAATAAATAGAAAAAGATAAAATACCAAAATTATAAATATATTTAATAATTATTCAATCCATCATAAATCTAAATAAGATATAAAACATGACCCCGAGCAAATCGACCTCATCATGGTCGTAACTATTACCATAACCAACTAATGAATAAGAAAAAAAATCAATAAATTAAGGTAGTTCAACCGATTAATTATAATGGTTAAATTTCACAAATTTATCTGAATACATATACTCAAATTTATTAGAGAAAGGATACATATGAAATCACGTAGATATTTTTCATATATTGATTTTCAAATATAATAAAATATTAATAAAATTGCATTATAAACATTAAAGGAATAAAAATCATTGTTGCATGCCCTTATTTCTCAACGCAGTTATTCTTCAAATTTCAAAATTAGCAACCAACAATTTGTAAATTTTATGAGTTGATTTAATTGTAATTAATGTTATCTCAAATTGACACCATTTCAGATTATTTCGACCTAGAAAAGAAACTCCTTGTTTCTTCTCATTCTGGAATACTTGAATGAACATGTCATTGTTCTTGCTTTCCTTGAATTGGCATTTCAATTTTTCGAGCTCTTACGAGATAACTTCCCCCTGTTATGTTTATTTGTCTGTTAGTACTTGTTTCTGTTCTCATCATCTTCAATGAAAATTTAAAAAGTAATGACTCATCAACACTTTTATAAGATGTTAATTTAAACTGTTGTTTTTGTCAAAATATTCCAAAGATTCTTACGATTCCTTGTTCCAAATCCAAGCCGACATTGCTTTGACACATCACACACCATGCACCATGCACCAGACTCTGCAGAGTACTAGATTGCAGCACCCGTATAAAGACATGAACTCGTTGGAGATTGGAGCCGTTATGATTTAAAAATATCTATCCACCTTGAAACGATTGATGATCCTGTTACTAACGTTTTTAATCCATCAAAATTCCCACTAATCCCAAAATTTAAATTTGAAATCTGAGGCTCAGTCAAAGGTGGAATCGCTGATTATGAGGCTATTTGTGTCTGGGTCCAATACATTTGGTACAAAAGTTAACAACTTTAACCCGCTCCACACAGCACATGATGGAGAATATGAGCCTGTCTCAACACCAAGCAGAATGACCCTGTCTTAGAGCTGTAAAGAATATGAATTATTGAAAAAGATGTTTAAATGGTGTCTAATTATTAGTAACAAAAGTCAAAAGAAGTCCCAGAAAAATGTAGACTTTATCAGGAATAATAACAGCTAGGTGGGTTCAAATATGCACTTGGCTTAGGTGGTGCTACATGTCTCAATGTACTACCTTTCATTTTTACCATTTTTTTGGAAGTCTCTATGATACCTTATTTACTTAAAAAATTTAAATTACATTGTTGTTTTGAATGTATTGTAAGAATTATTTTAGAGGCAGTATGGGGGTACAGAATGAGTGGTGTTGTATTGTGTGACATAGAAGATCACATCAAGCAAATACCCAATGGAGCTTGGCAGGTGTTGGAGGATGCATTCATAATTGAGACTGGAAAGCAACCTCTGTCATTGAGCTTCAATTTCTTTGTCTGCCTCCCCAAAATCAATATGGTCCCACCCTCATATGATCACATGAAGAGGAGAAAGAGTAACACCAACCCAAATATAATTTCATTCCAAAAAGTACACCCCCTGCTTCTGCATTTTCATTTTCTGAATGTGTGAATGTGTGATTAGAGTTGCCCCAATTCAAATATAACGGCTACAAGGCTAATAATAATATCACTTTTTAAATTTAAAAATTAGTTTTTAGTTTTATACCTTTAATCCTTTCAAAATATACATCATTTTTGTCTAATTATTAAAGGAGTCAAAATATAAAATTAGTATTTGTTATTCTCACTAGTCAATCATTAATTAAGATATGCGACATCGATTAAAATCGTTAATTTCGTGACATAACATGTGAAGTGATATGCTAATTATTAGTATTATATTTCTTTCCACATGAGATTACCTTGTCATAGGAATTGAAATGAAATTTTAAAGAAGAAAAAAAAAGTTGAAGTGGGAATTTGAACGAGGAAAGAAAAAAGAAAAATTTATTTGTAGGGTGCAGTTTAAGAAAGAGGTCATATCATTTGGTTGCTTAAAAGTATATAACATTTTTGTTTAGTCTCTAAAAATATTAGACTTTCATTTTTTTTTTTTTCAAATAAATCCATATTGAATGTTATTTTTGAGAACTTCAGCACTCTTTCAAGCTAAAACTTGCATATGACTAAACATTGTCAAAGTTTTTATTTGCATTTCCCAGATATCTTTACTTTGGTAATATTTAATGTTTGGCATGGTCGCATGCTCCCTCTTTTCTGGTTAAAGGTCATTGGTCATTTCATTGTCGGCATTCACCCAATGGATGCCTTAGTCTCTCCTTATTATAGAAAGGTGAAGTGCTTTTCTATAATTTGAGATATTCAAATCTTTTCTTTCTTCTAACCAATGCAAACTTTTATCACTTTATTTGTTGGTAATTTGCTTCATTTCCATGAAAAATAAAACATAAGGGAGGATACGATCAAGTTAGGGGTAGCCCTCAAAAATATGTTATGGTAGTCAACTTTCGTACTATAAATTTTGATTAGAAAAATAAAGTAAACTTAGCACAAAACAAAACAATGAAACAAAACTGAGATTTCCTGAAAAAGGTTTCGGATTCAAATCTTTGTAAATGAAAAAATAAGAAATTTTTTACTAAAAGTGATTAGCTAATTCTTTTGGAAACCCAAATTCGACCACATAAACACATGTCGGGTGTTAGTCGAGAGAGGATAGTTCAAGTGGTCACACGTGATTCTGGTTCTAAGTTCAAACCCACGAATGAATAAATAGACATTTGTTGGAAAGTAATTGACTCTTTGTAAAGAACTTGTCTACTGTCTGAGCTCAATGTGAAAAATTCTTTGTTGAAAGAATCTGAAAACTGATATTCAATATCACCCAGAGTATTTCCAAGAAATAATAAAACCATAAATAAAAAATAGCATCTCTAATGTATGTACAAAGAAATCCTACCAAAACAGGATCATGAATAAACTAACAAACAAGAAAGCAACAAGTGAGGGGATCAAAGAAGCGGCTGAAGAATTAACTATCTGAATGATAAAATTGCAAGTGGGTGTTGAGATATTGTCCGTAGTAAGCTTGGCCAAACCTTGAAAATTGCAGGCCATGGGGTTCTGGTTTTGCACCTGGAAGTACATATTAAACGCATAAGAAGCATTGCCATTAGTATCAAGGTTGTTGCAAGAGGATCCGTATCCAAGTGCAGTGCAATCTCCAAAGGTGCAAGCATAGTTGATGTTTTCTGGAAGCTTGCTTAGATCCTTAGCATCAGGATTAAACATGCACCACCTTGGAGCAAGGTATTTCACATTCTGTGCACCTATCAGATATTTGTTTTGGTTCTGACCAGAAAGGTCCATTGGAAACTTGGGTTGTCCATCATATCTGAATATTCCCCAGTGGCGTTCAAAGCTTCCTGGAGCAATGCTCTTGGCATCCTCATCAATGAGTCCAAAGAGATAAACTTCAATATGTCCAGGGCGGCGCGGCGTGCCTCTATTGCCTACAAGCCTCGGCAGAAGGCCATTATAGAACCTCAAAGCATTGCCTACATTGGCATTCTTGTCTCCTTCTGTTGGCCATCCTACCTCTCCCACCAAAATAGGCAGGTCTCCAAACCCCACTGATTTGAGAGCAGCAACCAAGGTATCAAAATTTGCATCAAATACATTGGTGTATGGAGTACCATTATCGTTTACTGGATTGTCTACACCATCAAAGAAGGCGTAGTTGAAAGGAAAATCATCATTTCCATAAAGACTTAAGAAGGGGTAAATGTTTACAGTAAATGGTGCACCATTCTTGCTGAGAAATTGCACTATCTGAGTCATGAGACCACTGATATCAGGCCTAAATATTCCTGCAGATGGAACAGGATTGTTCTCTGGAGACTGATACACATCTGCATTCAAGGGTACTGTAGCCTTTATTGTGTTTCCAACACCTGCTTCGTTAAGGGCATTTTGAATGTTCTGCAGTGCAGGAAAGGTGATATTCAAGAACGAATTGTTGTAGGATTTCAAAAATGGCTCGTTCCCAACTGCTACATACCTACAAAAGAATATAGATATAATGTATAATCCTACATTTTAAAAGGTCAAAAGGAAAACCAACAAAGCAAGTGTTGGCAAGTATACATGTCATTGCAAATTAAGGGTTTTCAAACACCAAAAGGAAAACCAACAAATTAAGTGTTCACAAGTTTGCCGAAGAATAACAAAAATAAGCATTTCAAAAGAAATTGAAATAAATAATATTGAATTTCCATCCAACAAAGCATAACATGTGGCCTTTAATAATATAAGAAGAAACCTTCTGCATCAAAGAGAAATGTTAAGAAAGTCACAGAACCAACAAACATACCCTATAACTATAAGTTATCCTTGAAATCATGTCTAAACTTGGAATCATTTTTTTAATACCACCTCCCTCCCTCCCTCCCCAAAAAGAAACACAAATACACGTACATCAACACAAATATTTCCCTTGCCCAAAAAAGATACATACTCATACCAAAATCCCTCACATTCATTGATTACTTGCACAGATCAATAGGAGTGAAGCTGGATGGTAAGATAATGTAAAAGTCATCCTATGTGAGAAATTTGACACTTATGTATCTCTTCCCCTCAAATATTACGCAGCAATCACCTCCTAGAATGGAATACTGATTCTTAGAACCAATTCCCTTCTCCTGTGCCACATATAAAGAACTTATCATGCACCACTACCGAAAAAAGAATCTAATTCTAGGGAATCGCCCAATACATAGAGCTTCCCTGATAAAAAGAAAAGACAACTTTTGTGTTCACTTTGGAAAGATTCCCTTCACACTTTTCCATGTTTGGTTTCTAAACAAATCATCAAAGAAAATACTTAATATTAATATTGTCAGGTGGATTGTCATCAACAGTAACAAATGTTCCTAATGTGAATGATAATTCAACAAGGGGCGTCAAAGATTTTCCATAAGGGAAGCCTAAGAAGGCCGCCATTAAGCCAAATCAATGCAAGGATTAAAATAAGAGGGCAGACATAAATCCACCAAGAAATCTGAAACAGAGAATCAAGGACTTGACATCGAATGCAATTTATTAAAATGCTAAAATAAACCAACAAGTAACAACCATATCATATACCAAATAACCTCTAAACTTCATTCTAAAACACAAAAAAGAAGCAAGAAAGGAAAAAAATCTGTATACAATAACAACAATCAAGTTTAAACCTAAGACTCGGCGCAAACTACATCTACCATTTTCCACAACCTAATGGGTTAAAGGAAGGCCAATGTAATGTAAACAATCGATTTAGTATAACAACAATTAAAGCAGTTAATGAAATTGAAAAAAAAAAAAAAAAATCACACAACTCACTTGATATTAACACCCCCATTGAAGTTGTAACGCGTGACGTTTCTCTTAACCCACTGTTTGGCCCGGCCATAGTCATTCATCTCAGCAAGCTGATTATTAGGGATGGCCACCATGACTTCAATCCCAGTCCCAGCCAAGGCACTCATGGTGGAGTCATCTGCATCAAAAAGTTTCACTTTCTGAATCCCGTTGTCCTTCAACATCTGAACCACTGTGTTTGGTGGCAACTTGTGTGTAGCTTGGGTTCCCCAATTCACCCCAATCCCTTCTCCACACCAACACATCACCCCCACCACCAACATCCATCTCAAAACCCAGTTTTTCTCCATTGCAAGAGCAACGAAACTTTTCCCCGCAAAATAAGAAGATTTCCCAGGGAAAAAAAAGAAGGAAACACAGGAAAGAGGAGGAAAAAATAAAATGGGTATGTAAATGGTAAACAAAACGTAAACGGAAACTCCCTCTTGTTTCTATATAAAGTGGGGGGGCAGCATAAAGCAACCGCGTTTGAAAGTGGGGTTCGAAAAACCAGCGAAAATTTTAAAACTTTTTTACGCGCACCTGATAGGGTGAAAGACCAAACCGGAATAAACAAATAGAAACAGAGACAATCAAGAGAGGAACAACAATATAAACGATCACAATAAACAAAACGCTTGCTACAACAATATTTGTAAACAAAACCCAAAACAACAAAAAAAACAATAACTTATTCGTTTTCTTTCCTCGGTTTCTTATTGGTTTGTTTCTTCTGACACAAAGAAACAGAGAGGACAGAGAATGCGATGTCCTGAACCCAGATGAACTAAACCAAACCAGTTTCTCTATCTTCTCGTGTGTTTGTGTGTGTGTGAGAGAGAAGAGAGAGAGAGAGAGAGGAAAGAGTTTATGGAGTGAGAAGAACTATGGGAGTTGTGAAAGGGAAAGTGGGGTAGTGGGAAATGACAGAGACAAATTCCCTGACGCTTTTTAATCACTATTATTGTTGTGGGTAACCGCTGTTCTAGATAGCTATAACGGCTATCACTTGAGAAGTTAAAAAGAGAGAGAGAGAGAGAGAGAAAGAACAATTGAAGAGTGACTAAGAAGAAATTAAAGTTTGAAGTGGAAAGGTATCATCATGATCGTAATGATAAAATCTAAGGAAAGAGAAGTTTCTGGTAATGGTTAGAGGATGAGCGAAGCCTTTTGGTTGAAGAAAGGACCCCAAAAAAATGACATACTGCATTAGTAAGTAAGTAATTGAGTTCATAAGATTTGATTAAAATAAGTTTATGATCAAGATTTTGTCATTTTGATTTTTTAATGAATTTACATTTTAATAATTATAATTAAAATATCAAATAGGGCAAGTTTCACCACAAAATTTGTAAAAAAAAAAATTCAAAACTAAATTTATAAACAAAATAAAACATTTGACCTATCCTAGTTTCCCGGTCCCAATAGCAACTAATCATGCAATGACTGAACTGAGTAATGCGTAAAAAATGGTAGGCACAAACGAACCCTAAAAATGTTACGCTTTGGTTCTAAGAATTTAGAACTTTCTCAATCTAACATCTCTCTAATGTTGAGTATGTCCAGAAATCAGAACAAAGGAAAATGGTTTTTCTTTAGATAAGATCACATATGGATAAGATCAATGTATAAGTGTAATATTTTTTTTTTCAATTGATAACTTTAAATTTGAATTTTGAATTTGGGGTTTTGTGTAACTTAAAATTTTAGTTTATAAAAATAATTAATTTAATAACTTAATGAAGAATATAATATATATTTATAATTAGTATGTAAATAAGATTAATATAATAGAAAAAAGTACAATGAATATAATTCAATTGTATAAAAGTTTAATTATATATATTAAATAATATACCTTTACATTACGAAGTATATAAAGATATGCGTTAGACTGAAAACTTATAATTTAAATAGTTATTTTATTATTTTATTAAAATATATTAATTTAATATTCAAAATAATAATTATTTTTACATGGATAGAACAAATGTGTTACGGGTTTTTTAGGAACAAATGCGTTACATTCAAACAATTTTTGAACCCATACTTTAGATTAAAGGATTATTTATTAAAAGATTAAAATAATATATGGTGTTTATTTAATTTTTAATAATTCATTGTGATTTTCTCAAAATATGTTAACTTGTTTATTAAAATAATATTATTTATTTATTTTAACACAATAAATACATTAAGTTGAATATCATTTTTTACTCTACTTTGGATGGAAAATAAACGGTGAATAATCTTAATTATTTATGTTAACACAATAAAGCTAATTATTTATTGTATTGATAATAATTTATGACTTTTTTATAAAAGTATATTAATTTATTTGAACATAATAAAGCGTTACATTATATATATATCTCTGTGTGTGTGTGTGTTGAATAATTAGATATTAAAATTTGTAAGTTAATATTTTACAATTATTATATTATTAATATTTTATAATCTCTTTTATCAAGTTATATTAAATATATTTTCAAAATAATATTAATTATTTATTTCAACGCGTTAAATACATCAATTAACAGGTAAGACGATTTATTGGGAATATACAATCTAGCTGTACATTGAAAAGCTTAATATTAAGAAGTTGTCTTAAATAATTAATATTTTATTTAAGTATCTTAATAAGTCACTTAATATTTTTTTAAAGTTTTTTTTTAATTCTTAACTGAAACCTTAAATACATTAACATAAATTTCTCATTTGAAAAGGTTTGAATTAGATTAATTAAATTTTTAAATGATTTTATTTTGACCTTTTATGAAGAAAGGTGTGTTTGTCCAAATTCCAAAAGTAATGAATGGGAAATAGAGTTAATATTATTAATGATTCACTTTTGTGGACTATACTTATTATTATTATTATTATTATTATTATTATTATTATTATTATTATTATGTCATTAATGATTCATCCTAATTTGCTTCTTACATTCTCATCTAATTATGTGATTCATTAATTATTTGAAGCTTTTTTAATAATAAAAATTGGCATGACTAAATAATATTATGTTTCAAACTTGAGCCATAAATTAGTAGCATCAACATTGTCTTACATTTTCGTCTTATTTCTTAAGGCCAGAGGGGATTTACTGGGTGCCCATCCCCAATTTTTTTTTTTAAATTTTAATATAAATAAATTTTTAAAAAATAAATATAAACTACTTTAAAAATATAAATTTATTTTGTTTTAATATTAAATAATAATAATATGAAATATTACTATTTTATTCTCACAATTAATTTCTTATTTATACTTTTTTTTCTCACATTTATATTTTCATATTTACATATTTTCATGTCTTAACTTTTCACTTTTTTACTTTCAACCTTTTCTCTCTCACCTTCAATTTTTTTTTTTTTATGTTTTTACACTTATATATATATATATATAATTTTTTTTTTCATTTTTCTCTTATCCTTTTACATTTATATTTTTTCACATAAAAATTATATATTTTTCTCTTTAACTTTTTTAGATTTTTTTAATCACGATTTCACCTTTACAAAAAATAATTGTAATTTTTTTATCTTTTATTTATTCATGAAAACAAAAAAATATTAGAACTCAAAAGACAAAAATATTAAAAATGAAAAATACTCACAATTCTTGAAGTGAAAAAATAAATAACTTTTTTATTATTCTTTTTCATTGTATATATAAGCATGTGTAATATAAAAATATAAAATATTAATATAGTTTTCATATTTTATTTTGCTTTACTTTTATGTTATTCTAGTTGAATTTTAAATACGTTAAAAAAATATAAACTTATTTTCTTTTAAGCTATTATATGTTTTATGTAGGTATGCCAACATTTATTTTTGTTTTTTTATGGAGATTTTGAAAGTGACGACGCATTATTATAAGAAATTAATGGAACCTTTGTGGTGTGAGTTCTGAGGTTTTGAAAATAATTGTCATTTGTGAATGAGATGTTTAAGGGACTGTGTAATTTGAATAATTTATTCGAGCTCCATTGTCATCATTATGTTATCCACGTTATAACATTTACCATAGCTTAGAAATATAATCAATTATGGTATTAAAATTAGTGGATTTTTCGTCCAATTGGAAAATAAACTTATATTAATCAGGGTTTTTCGCATTCCTGATAATTACTGGTTTTGTCCTTTAACTCACAGTCTTACCAAAAATTGAAAGTATAAAAGAAATTGAAACATTATAAAAAAAATATATGAAAAGTATTATAAAAAATTATTTAAAATGTTTGAGAAAAGAAAAAAGAATGAGAGGATGATATTGCCTTAGGTCATGGGTCCCGTAACATAACCGGACAGATATCTTCAACTACAATATCTAACATCCATGGATTCTGGCCCTGCTGGCTGCTCTGTAAAACATTATCTACGAAATTTCAAATTTTTTTTTCAAGTGTCAATGACTTTTCCTTAAACGCATTAAATATAGAATAAAGATAATAATAATAATAATCTAATCAGATAATAATTCAAAACTTTTATATAAATTAGAGATATAATTAAGTTATAATATGTAGATAAGAAGAGTGACTGAATAGGTAACTAGTTCTTCAAGATATGTAAACAGTATATTCAAATATTTTGAAAAGGAAGGAGCCTCTTGAAAAGCAACTAGAGAAAACAAGAAATTTCAATTTATGTGGGTAAGACAACCCAACCGACAATTTTGAAAAAAAGTGACGTTTATTTATAGTGGACGGTGTAACTTTGATGGAGTTAGTTTTACACTAGTAATGATAGGAACCTAGACGTTTGGTGATCACTTGTGATTCAATAACTCATCAAAATGTCTAATGCTGTTATTAGTGCTGTGGATTACTTTATGGAACACATTCTTATCATGAAATGATTATCAGTATTTTCACACATTATCTTCAACATACTTTACTCACAGTTACATTTTCTCGTCTTACAAGATATTTAAGACATTTTTTCACGCACTGAAACTAATCTTCAGTTGAGAAACTGAGTTAGTCTTACCACAAGAATGAATCTTAAGCATTATATGGGCTTTTGCAACCGTTGAACTGATACTTTTGCAAGAATCCATCCTGTTTTTCATGTGTTCCTTGTTAAAGAAAGCTGTAGGAGTACAAGGTGGAGGAGACACCATCCTCCGAGTTGGCAAGTGACAATGACCTGCCACTTTAACAAAAAACTCTGTTGGACAATAGTAGAAAGGCCCAAATATGGAGGGTGTATGCTGTGAGAAACAAGGGTGAGAGGAGGAGGGTTGAGTTGGCATAACTGCGTAGGGGGATTGAGGGTATCTAGAGGAACTGTGATGAGGGTGGGGGGCAGGAGAATAGTGAAATTCTCTTGTAGGCAGAGAACTTTAAACTCTCTCAAGGAGCTTGCCTCTGTGGCAGAGTTTTGTATTTTTTTCTTTTTGTTAGTGGTTGCAAACATTCTTTTTGTATCTTAAACTCTTATTTCCGTTTGTTGGTCCCTGATAGTATAGTAGTCAACGTAGTCATATTTTTGCATTCCTATTCTTAGTAAAAAAAAAACTTTGGTTCCTTGTATCTTGGGGAATTGAGATAATTTAGTAACCCTTTGGGAACCAAATAATATTCAGTCAAAATTAGTCTTATTTTATTTTCAACTTGTTAAGGTGGGTTAGTTCAATCCCACAACTGATTTGTCAAATCAGACCATCACAAGACATGTCATTTTGGCCCCAATAGAGGTCATTCTCTAGCCACAAATTGTTGTCATTGTCCACTAATGCCATCAGAAGAAGCAGCACCTTGTCCTAATTGGATGTTTCCCAAAACCTCATCATCAGAGTTTCCATGCACTGATACCTTCATTGATGTTGGATGACAAGAAAAAGGATGAACTTTTTCAAGGAACATGCTCCTCTAGTTTGATACTAGGTGAAAAGATTATCCCAGTTAAGTTCTAAGCCTGAAAATAGTTCATCCATTGCAGTACATAATTCTCGTTAGAATTTGGGTTTCATATGAGGAAACTGGCTTGAAAGGTCAAAGTCTGTCCAAGTTTTATAAGTTATATTCAAGTCATATATCTAATTGATATAATATTAAATTACCAACCTTAAAGGTTGCAATTGAGGCATCTCAAAAAAGCTGCAACTAAGGCAGGCTAAAGGTGACACCACAACCAATTCCAACACTCTAGTACTGACCCAACGTCCTTTATAGTTTCATCAACATCACCTCATATTACAAGAAAAACATAAAACTAGCCTCTTTCCCAGCGGTTGTCACCCTATCACCAAGAGAAAGAAAAAACCTTTGTCTCTTCTGTAATTAGCTACCACCTCCTCTTCCTACCAGCCATTTTCTATCACCAAAAGGTGCAGAAAAGATGCAAAAAGGGTTGTTTAGAATAGTGCAAGTTGAAGATGCAGGGAAGGGTTTGCACGAGATTGTCCACGCAGTGAGGTGTACAAGTGATGAGTAGTCGGGTTCAGACCCAAAAACGGTAATTCAGAGTAAGCCAAAATAGCTGTCATATGATCCATTTATTTCATCTGTCGAGTCCTTTTGGTAGAATGGTTTGAGATTATGCAGGTTAACCCAAGTTTGGGTGGGTTCACTAACATTTAACAGAAATAAAGAAAATCATTTAGAAGACGAGAAATGACAAATGATAACTGTGAAGAATGAAAAAAGATAAAGAAGAATGGTTGCCAACTACCATAAAGGAGCAAAAAACATTGCAGAGGATGGTTCTAAATGTTGAAACAAAGAAGACAATTTATCCCATTCATCGCCAACCATATGGAACATCTTTTTGCCAACTCAAACAATCAATTAGCCGACTTGTCCACCAAAGTCCTTGGGGTTCGGTCAAGAATATCTTATATTATAGCAGCAATATGGATGGTTTAAAATCTACAACCAACTTGAGGAGTGGGAATTATAGACACCCTAACTAACATTGTAATTGATATTTAATATCTCATTTCCAATTAACTTTGGTTCATTGTATCTTCGGATATTATTGACATAGTTTAATTGCCTTTTTCGTGAACGGTACTCTTTTACTTATCATTATGTATATATATTCAATTAAGTGTGTATTTAGCACTCAAGTGAAGAATATTCACTCATTCTTCCCTTGTTATATCCTTAACTCCATCATATTTTCTTTCTTTTTTGTTGTCCCTAAACAAGCAGAATGAGAAAACACAGCTCAAATAGAGACAACATTAAAAGGAAAAACATACATATTATTTTAATCCTTGCAAATAGAACCCTACAAGCAAGTATCAACCTAAGACAATTAGCACGAAGAAGAAAATACAAACACACTACTGTGACCATGAACGGCAGCCTAATAACCGGCTAGTCACAATGTGCGTTGAATAAATAACTTTCTGGTCAACAATTCCAAACATATTTTGCAATACCTGCAAGGATTAAAACCAACAAACAAGGTTTTGTAAAGCAGTCTACCAATGTTGTACATATCAGCCAAAAGGAGATGTTAGACATTCCCACAAAGATTTGGAAGGGTCAATAATGAGAGCTAGTTAATCACTAAAACTCTTCAAAATATGGCCCAATTCAATCTTTACATGCAAGTTTTAAAAGAGAAAGATATACTGTAGCAAACATTGGTCAATATGGGAAATAAGTCACAGTCTATTCCGAATTTACAGCCTTTCTCCAAATAATACAAATGTAGATCTCAGATTTATGCAGAAACAGGAAAAGAGTGAAGAAATATGCATCAACTTAATGCATCAAGCTGAATAGTCAGGCCTTTAATAGCATGAATAGTAGCACTTGTTTTCATTTTTTCATATTTCTTATTTGGGGCTTATACTGATGATTACCATTTTTAAAAATAAAGGGTTATAAGCAAGGTCAACATAAAAGACAATACAAACAATTCTTAATCTGAGATTTATTGTAAATAACTAGCCTTTCAAAAACAATTATTAAATTTAAAGACAGTTTTCTTCTATTTGATTAGATACGACTTCAAGTCAAAACTAGAAAATCAGTCTAATAGGAAAATATTCCTCAAAATTATAAAGCACAAAGAAATATAAGAAACAAGTCACGTAGTTACCACATGGCATCCTCTATACAAGGAGATCATCTTCAAGATAGTTATACTCAAAAGTAAATTCAGTCTTGATTCTTTGACACCTGAATAACCACATCATGATACAGACAAGTTAGAACAAACAGAAGTGTAAAATCAAACAATGTACATTATTGTTTCACGTATTCGCTAAAACTCTGACTGCAAATATCAAGAATTATATGTTTACAAGCATACCATCCATGTTGCATGTCATCATTTGCAATATGGAAATCAAAGTACACGTAAGTTCCTTGCTCATATTCATCAGTAGCAACTTTGGGCTCTTCATGCCGCTGAAACCAAGTGTTATACTTTCGGTGGTATCTCCAAGACTGCTTCTTTAACTCCTTTGCAGCCAAGTATTGTTGGTAAGTATTCTGCAAAAAAAATATATGTAAGTCCACATGGCCAAAAGACCCAATAAAATCACAGAAAGTTCAGGTACCTGTTGATAATAAAATGCAAAGAATAGAGTATCCGTGCCAAATGGTTCCAGACCTACTCTCTCCCAAAAGGCAGGATTATTAACAATAGGTGACTGTACTTGAGGATAACTAGGAGGTGTGATAGCCGGGTGCTTCTGCATAACCAAAGAAAATCCATCAAGGAGCATAAAATAGAATATCCAATAAACACGAGGATGATTATAACAAGAAATGCATACAGGAGTATATGTCCTGGGACGTTCCGAGTCTTTGGGTAGGGGAATTTTGAAGTGGGCTGCCTCAAGCATCTGTAAATTATACAATTGATCACGTACCCCACCAGAACTAACACTCGGTCCACTAAAACTATCACCAATTGCTCCATGTTCAGAACCATTTCTTCTTCCAATAACACCAAGGTTGCCAGTTGGTTGATTGGATTGTAATGGTTGGCCAGGCGACAAATCTATATCCCTGGAAGTTTGAGCAGATTCTGGAAGAGAGGCAGAAACTCCTACCTGCAGCATAAACATATAGTCATCCCAGCTCATCATCAAATAATATATAAAAATATAAAATACATCAATAAAAAATGCATATTTTGCCATCTGCAAATCAAGGAAGTCCTAGCTTTTCAATTCAGCTAATATATCATCAGCTTAACTCATAAAAGCACTACAACAGAGCTGATCAACTTGTTTCCAAATCAGATGCTAAGTAAAAATTTTGTTTACATTATCTAACAACTAAATGGGAGAAAAAGAATAATGAATGTGCTCTCTGTTCCCTTCAAAATTCAAATACCATTTACATATTTTATATTTTACAACTGCCTTAGAAACAAATTGATCAGAACTACAGGTGCAATTTAATGTAGTCACTTCATCCACCTACCTAACTGAAAGAATAGGAGGACCGACGACCCCCAGGTTTTCCCCAGCTTATGATCCCAAATTTATCATACAATATATGATGCATTGCAAGCACAACAAAAGTAGGAAATATTAAAGGATATATGCTTATAAGCGAGTAAGATATATCTTGAACATGAACAAAGTCAGAATTAGGAAGCATACAGGAGAATCTACAGCATAAGCTGATTTTGAATCATCTTCATTTATGAGATTCTTGCCAATGCCAGTGCTAGCAGTAGATTCTGTTGTTGGCTCATCAGAAAAATTCTGATGTTGCTGCTGTTCTTCAATCTTAGAATTGCCAACATCTGCATAATACAAATACTATATGATATAACAACCTCATAATAACACCAACATTGGTATTAGGTATTTTATCTTAAATAATTACATATTCTTATAATAATTGGGCTTGTATACTAAACCAGATATCGATATTCCCAAATTACTTGCTAAATTAAGATATTTATTTATTGGGGAAGAGGGGGCTGAAAAAATAGTTTCGTACAATAAAATTCATTGAGGGGAAAAATAGCCACATTTTTTACAGGAGAATCATCACCTTCATGATAAAAAATGTTTATCAGGATTTACATTTTTAAATCTTTTTTATATAAGGTAAATTCGGAAGTTAAAATATTTTCAGTATTGATTGGAAAATAACCATAGCTGAATAACATAGGTTGAGAATATTGGAACCCCGTATGTTAAGTCATACTATTCCAATCACTCATTGAGCCCAGAAAGGAAAGGAAGAAAGTATTCCACTTTAAAAGGAGAAAAATTATTCAGCAAAACACTATAATATATGACCAATAACTAACATAAATCATACCTGAATCTTTAGAAACTCCAGGTATCAGAGGCTGTTGACTAGAGGGGGACTGGACAGAATTGGGTGGCTGCTGCAATGATGCAGAAGAAATACCACCGAGACTTGTGGACTGGACCCCAAGTCCAATACCAGATTGAGAAGAAACAGATGAGCCATGAGAGTTAAACTGCATATATTGCACTATGTCATACAAAAAATAGTTTTCTAATGTAGAAGAAATTATGTTATAAAAGGAATTATAACTTAATTTTATTCTTCAAAGAAAAATAAACTTTTAATCATATAAAGTTAATTCATATAGAAGAGTACATATGGAAGAAAAATTGTAAATGAAAACAATAGCTTTATGAAAAATACCATTAACATTATTTTAAAATGTTAATTAACAGTAATGCCATATTTACTTACTCATACTTATACCACAATAAGAAAACAAAAGAAATAATAGAGAAAAGAAAACTTTGTATTGAATATACGAGTTTTTACAAGTGATGAGCTTCTGTTTACAACAACTATATATAAACTAAAGAAGATGATTTAACTGATGAAATCAGTTATAACAGTTGACTAATAACATCTACTGACATCGGTAACTGTAACAAATAACCTGTCAGTGACAGCTGTAACTGACAACAGAAAACAATGCTATGACAATCTAACTAATCAGATTACAACCGATTAAGGGAATTATTCACTCAAGCCACAAAATCATTCTCACATAATTAATTACTTTGCAACCCCATCTGTCACCACTATTAAAAATTTCAATTCTACTTATACTAAAGGATGAAATGTCAGGTGATTTTGGATGATCCATGAATTCATACTCTACCAAGTACAAAAGATTCAACTCTACCATGAACAAAAGATTCAACTCTTTCATTTCTATTGTTGCAACAGAGAGTTAAAGATTTAATTCCATTTTAGCTTGGAATATTAAGAGGGCCAAAGCTTCTGTAGTAAAGAACCATATTAAAATCAAGAGTAAAGTAGTGGCAGCATAGGAAGAACATAAATGGAATGCATGTTTAGCCTAGACAGCTCAATTTTTTTGGACCATAATGAACATTCCAATATATGTAAAAGAACCAGTAAGCAAAAAGAAGACAAATTTGATATACAAGTACCTGCTGCAAAAGGGGGTTTTGCTGCTGGGGAGAAAATTGCTTATGGTTTCCCCCAACAAGAGAAGGCATATTAAGAAGGGTACCGTGCCCTTGTTGCACTTGCTGATACTTCTGCAAAAACTTTTCCCTTTGATCAGGAGCAATTTCAGTTCTAGCACGAATCTGACCCTGAAGTATTGGTTAAACAAGTCTCTTCAATGATTATAATTTTACAAATACAACATGAGTAAAATGATACTTTCATTCAACCTAGCAATAACAACATTGAGTGAAGTATTTGCAGTGATCTGACTATTACTTGAATCCATCCGTGTAGTTAACTAACTTTGCACTCATGTAATTATTTTCCATGTAAATGAATTCATGCACATATACATAGCCTAAACATATACATTATATTAGTGGAAGATCACCAGAGGTATTAAATCAATTATTGAATGTCTTAAATAAAAGGCACTTATCACATGACATCAGGAATGGTATTTTAATTCAGACTGTTCGGTACAAACTAGTTCTGATCACCAATTTCAATCAAGATAAAGCAAATGACAAGTATATATAAATGTTTGGAGCATTGTATAGTTGAATAGTCTTAAGGCAGAAAAGTGCTCTGTAGTTTTCAGGAAATGTAATAATTAATGTCGAATGAATGTGGCAACAGACAATGTGTCTTAGGGTCTCTATGATATCACATGCTATTATAAAACAATAAATAAGCAATATAAAGTTATGATGATTGGGTATGACTGAATTCATAAAAAAAATTGGATTCTAGATTTCAACGCACTGTTAGATTCTAGCTTTGATTTGAATCCAAAAGGTGATATCCTTACATACTTTATGCAGGAACAAACTAAACAACAGCAAATAATATAGCAATCTAATTGTAAGTAATATTTTAATATGCATAAACGAACTCCATACTTGCAACCAGTGCAGACGTCTTCAAATAAATTACAACTAAAAACAGCAACAGAAAATGCACATTTTTGGAGGGTGTAACTAACTACTAGTGGAAAACTAAATAGCAAAGCAAAAGAAAATTTAGAACAGAAAACTTACTGGATCATTCTGATTCTGAAAGGGACTACCAGGTCTCCATTGCATGCCAGGAACCACAGAAGGGGAGAAAACTCTCCCAGATACAGCTGCAGCTTCATTAACAGTACTAGAGTCAACTGAAACAGTTCCATCACTAGCCTTTGCAGCCTGAGGCAAGATCAATCTATTACTTAGCGGGGATACAAGAGGTTGCACCATCGCACTACTGCCAAGTCTATCATCAGCTCCCAATAGGTTCCTTTTAGTTATTTCAGAGGCTGAAGGGACTGATCCATGGGCCCCATTACTGGGAACCATGTTTGCAGAACCAAGAGGGATGCTCGCTGTTGCTTGATTTGATAGGGAGTTTCTTCCCCTCAAAAGTGTTGCATCAGAAAGTGATGGAGACGGTCTCCGGCTAGGGAAGCTATTAATGTCTTCTTCCTTTGTAGAGGTAGACTGATTAACGGAAGATGAATTGGTAACATTAGTGTTCTCCAACACATTCCGCACAGAATTTGTACCAGGTATGGCTGCAACAGCAGGTGGACTAGACAAGGTATGACTAGAGACATTCATGGAAACTGGGGAAGTGTGATTGCCTGTAGGAGTTGAACTAGCAGAACTAATTCCACAACTTTTAGGAGGTGGAGTTTTGGCAACATTGTCAGAATTGCTATCCTGGGATGCTGTGTCATCAGCTTGCTCCTGGATAGAAGTCTCTTGATGATTGGAAATAACAGTTTCCTGGATTGGGAATAAACAATCAATTCAATGACCTCCAATGAGAATGCAGCATTCTTCCCTTTAACAACTATTAAAGTAAAATAGTGATTAGCCACATGAACTTGCTGAAACGCCAGTCATGATCCCTTTGCTTACAATTAATATTTTTGGGAAAGTACTACTAGATGCTTCATCAGCAATTGCTTAATTTTGGTTATCATGCATTAAATGTAAGATTTAAATCATAAAAATTGGGTTAAAATAACTACTTTTTGAGTGCTTTATTCATGTTGCAAGTATATAAATCTTTTACATCAAGTCCTATACGTTAAACTATTATTTTGCAACACCATCTTGCAATCCATTACTGCTTTTCAATAAGCCTCGGAATTTAATCTTTATGACCAACTAATTGCAGAAAAGAAATGATTTCTCATATCACAACAGCTGAATTCAATATTTATCATCACAACAGCTGAATTCAATATTTATCATCACTGCAAACCATCAAAATACAATAGGAAGAAGGAGGGGGGGGTAAATCAACCTTATTTAGACGATGAAATATCTAACAGGAGCATCCAAGCAGAGTTAAATAAACTAAATAAAAGCAAGAACCACACAGAATATTCTGAAACAACATCCTAACATTTTAATTTACAATAGATTCCTAAGAAATATTTTCATATTGTAGAAACAAAAAATCCATACAGATGTTTGTGATGCAGATGCTGAAGCTGATTGTGATGTTGATACTGCCGAAGAATTCTTCACACCAAGACTAGGTGCCACCTGAAAAAATATACATAAAATTGGAGTTCCACAAAGAATAATTCTAATTATTCTAATATTTTAACATGAAGGAAATATTAGTATATAAAATGAATTTTAAAGATGGGAAGCCTAGAATCAACATACCCAAAATAAACAACAATAAATAAATAAAATAGAAAAATGGCCATTACTGCCCAAGGATCCTAAAAATGTTGGGTTTGGGAAAGGTATGATGTGTCTTACCCACGTAGGTGCCCGGTGGAATTATTCCCAACATTCATCAAATTATTATGATGTGTAGAACCCACAACATTCATTAATTTTTTTCATAAAAACAACATAGTAGCATCAGAAAATAGACATTCTAATATATAATTCAGGGGGCATATGCTAACATGCCAAAGTTAATCTATATATGCCAATCCCATAACACAAATCTATGACATACACATCCAGTTGTATTTGTGCGTGTGTATGTTCACAACCAAGGCAATAATGCTTAAACAGATACCTTTACCTTAGAAATACCAGTGGGAATTGTGACAAGATCTTCTAGTGTCTCCACCTTGTCTAAAGGTAATGAACTGTATAGTTCATCAACGTCATTAAAATCATCAAAATCCTCCTGCAGAAGAAAATGAAAATTAGAAAACACATGTTGTACAGAAGAAAGCATTAGGGAATGTTTGGATGGAGAGAAATCTGTAGGGAATTTTTCATTTTAATGAAAATTATAAATATTTTATACAAAAGTTAAATAATATATGAATAAGGAATTGTTGGAAGGTCAATATCTCATTATTTTGTTGATCTAATTTCGTTCTAATTTTTAAAATTAGGGGAATGTTAACTTAAATAAAGTTTATCCCTTTTCTACCACTCCCACCCCTTCCAAACACACCCTTACACTTGTTTAAAATGGTTGAAGATCTCACATGGAGATATGACCAACTTAAATTTATAATATATGATTGAGGTGCAAACCTCACCTTAGAAATCAGTTTTTATAGGGTTGAGTTAGGCACTTCTTTGTTTTTAATATAATATCAGAGCTTTTCTAAGTGAAATTTGTTGGTCTATCACTCCACCCGAAACCAAGTCACTATTAGACCACCTTTTCATATTCAATTCCACATTCTTGAGATGTCCATTCCTCAACATGAGGAGTGTGTTGGAGATCTCACATCGACTAGAAATATCATCAACTTATAATATATAATTAAGCTGCAAATCTCACCTTACAAGCCAATTTTTAAGGTTGAGTTAAGCACCTCTCCATAATAGAAACCAAAGATTTGAAAGGAAAGAATTGGGTAAAAGAGAAAATTCATCCCTCATTCAGAACTGCAGTCATGGAGAGAGTGGCAAGCCTCTAATTTTGTCTCTCCATTTTCAAAAACAGGGAAAACGGGTTATATTTTGATGTAATAACCAAAAATATGCTTACTTGTTTTATTTGATTGTGTTTTAAAATAGCCGTTGAACATAATTATATTTCCTTTCTTTTTTTCGTTTTTATCCAATCAAAAAAGTGAAGAGAGAACTCAGCTTTCCTTTCTCTTCATTTTCTTTTTATTTCTTAGTCCCAAGAGCCTAAAAACCTACTCCTTTTCTCTTCTCATCTACTTCTTCCCCATTTCTTCTCACAACAAAACAGAAGGGCTTCCCAAGAAAGACTATGTTGGAAACATGAAATTTTACGAAATAAGTGCTTCATGAAGGTTTTCCAAGTAGCCTAGATACTTGGTATAACTAGGTTGAATCTGCCTCAGATTAAGTAAAGCAGATGATAGTCTAGTGGGGCATAAGGAGATATTATTGTATTTTGTTGGAAAATTAATCTATATATCGCACACTAGGACGGACATTGCATTCATTGTAAGTTAGGTTAGTCAATTTATGCAATGCTTGACATGTTCACTTACAAGCCACTCATTTAAACGATACCCACAATACCTTAAAATAACCATAGGTGGAGGAATTATATACATATATATATAAGAAAAGAGAGTGCAATTCTTAAAGCTTAAACTGGTGCTGATTATGCAAGGATAGAGACTAAAAAGGAGGTCCACTACTGGATACTGCACCATTTTGGAGGAAGTTTAGTAACTTGGTGAAGTAAAAAGTAGAAGGATTTTTCCAAGTACCCTAGATGCTTAGTATAGCCTAGGCTTAATGCATAAAGGGGAGTAGTAGTACCTTAATTGCTCTCTTCTAAACTTATCTTTATAATACTCTTGAATATAAAATAGACAATTCTGCTGGGTGGAAAATACACTCAAGCACATTCATAGAAAAAAATTCGCATCCTTCCACACACTATACACAGGTCTGGTAGATCCATCAACATTCACTCAAGTGTCCAATTTTTAGAGCACAACCATATCTAAAAGACAAACCTGATTACGCTCAACATAGTCATCCAAAAAATCTTTCACATCGTTAACCTGCTCAGGACTTAATTCATCATTATCTAATAGCCTCAAAATGAATTCACATTTTTTTATATGGGCCTTGTGACGAGTAATTGATGTCTCTAGATGTGTCTGAAACAAAAGAAACATGTCAATGGCCATGGGAAAGGAAAACCATCACTTCCACAAATATATGTCCAATAACTCGTACCAATCTGGGTGGCCTGTTCTTTCCTTTCTTAACAGAAAGCCCTTCAAGCTCTGCTTCAAAGTTATCAATCTGTGATTCTAACTCTCCAACCTACTCAAATATTTAAAATAACCAAAAAAATGCAACTGATGAGACAAACAAGTATGTAAGTCAAATTAATATGAAATCGCCTAAATAATATATGATCAAAGAGATATTCCACTGAATACTGCCAGGAAAACAAGCACTAGTAAAAACAGGATTTTAAAAGAAATTTCTGAAAGGTCTCAACAGTCAACCAGCACTATACATAATCTCATTTTCCACTAAACAAACATTAGATAGAAAGGATGAGACTAACATTTGCCTATGTAAGCACTTTGCAAACACATGTATTAGCCATACTGAATACAAAAATAAAAAATAAAAAATTAAAAGGTATTCAAAGGAGTTTATTTCATACCACATTGTTTAACCAATCCCTTGTCTCTGATTTAGCCTTCTCTTTCGGATCCTATTAGAATACAGTGAGATAACAAATTACTCAGTCCAAAATGACATATACACAGTCATAGAGCACCAAGAAAAAGCCCCCAAAAAAAATGGTGTTAAAAATACAACAAATGAAAAGGTAATATTTCCCAGAACAAGGACTTACAGTCTTAGGTTGCTGACCCAAGCCTTCTTTGGAAAATGCTTTGGTCTTAGTTTCCTTCTCACATATCTTAAATCTTTCCATTTCTCGTTCAATTTGCTTGCGTGCATCCACCAAAGCTTGTTCATATGAGGCACTAACCTGTGTCAAGATGTCATAACAGAAAGCACTGTCAAGAGCCGTGTAGCTAAATTTCAACATTCAATATTTAAAATGTTACACACACCATGTCCTCATCAAACAAGTCAAACCAAGGAACACATCACGAAATCAATGGCTCGTAAACACAATCTACAAAGCTCATATTCATACAAAAATGATGTAAAGTGATTACTAAATCCTTGCCATAGATTGTACCTTTCCTGCAAACACATTTATTAATAAGTACATATATGATTTAACTTATTTAAAGAAAACATTCATTTATCCCAAGAGAGCTTTTGAGAAATAAGTCTTTATTAATTAGCTGTTCCAAACAAGCAACAATCCAAGGCTAACTGCAAAATTTACACGACACTTTGCAAACCGAAATCCAAGTACTGAAAATACGTATTTGAATAAGTGAATTCTAAAAACAGCTTAGAATCTCAATCTTAGTCAGAGAGCTTCTTTTCGTGATTTCCCTATACGTAAATCAAAAGCACACATACATTAATATCATCGTTTCATGTACCTAAAATATATCTACAAAATGAGTCAAATACACCCCCACAATGCACCATGCTGGAGAAATTAATTAAATTAAAAAAAAAACAAGGATAGAAAAGTCGAAAATTTGGCACTTTGGTTGCTTCCTGGAACTAGCAGGGAGTAAACTAATACCTTCTTGTCCTTGATCTCACTGGATTGAATCCACGTCTTGATTTGGTCTCTATACCTCTGTAGTTTCTTAATCTCCTTCTTGAGGTCTGCTTCAAACTTTTCCTTCTGGTTAGCATTGTCCGTGTCATAAACCTAAGCCCAAATAAAACCCCTCATTTTATTCAGAAACAGTGGAAATGAAAGAAACAATAATAAAAAAATGAGAGAAGCAAATGAAGAACCTTATTCCAGATGCTATCGAAGACTTCAACACCTTCCTGAACCTTCTTCAGAACACGATCTATCTCTCCCTGGAGCTTTCGACTTGCACCCATTGATTCCACTTCTCACTTCACGCAATGCCAGAGTGGTGGGCCAATTGTGAATAGCCAATTGCTCTTTGATTCGGGTTTTAGGGTTTGTTTCTCACTCGCTTGCTTACTCAGAGGACGCGGAGATTCTACGACGACATCACTTTCTTTGTCGTTTCATATATAAACTCAAATTTCTGGATTCCAAGCACAGGATGTTGATGATTTTCTTCAAACAAAGTTTAGTCTTAATTAAAATAGGCTTGTTTTCAGATGGATCAATATAGTTGAGTCTACTTATTATACGAAATATTTCAAAAAAAAAAAATTTATAGGAATGGATTAATATTAACAAATGTAAATTTACTTTAAAATCCATGAATATTTTCTTCTCCATTCATTATTAAAATAATTAATAATTTTTATTCGAATTTACCAAACATGTATTTACATTAATAATAGTCTATTATGTAATAATTTCATAATTAAATGTGTATTAAAAATAAATTTGAAGTTTTTTTCATTCTATGTAGTTTCTCAATAGTATTTGTTTTGCCTGACTTATTTGTAGATGTGAGTGTTATTTTAAAGTTTAAATTAGAAATGATAAAATTTAAAAAATGATGTAAATTATTTGTTAGGTTTTTTAATTTAAAATTACTTGTATCTAATATATATTTAGTACATGGGCTAATATGAATGATTTTTCATCCATTTTATATTAAAAAAAACCATTAAAATCAAATATAAATTTTGAATTAGTTTTAGTTTGATTTTATTTTATTTCAAAAAATTGAATTAAATCTAACAAATCTTTTATAATTTGATTTAGATAATTTTCATAATTTTTTATTATAAAATAATTATTAATAAATATATTATAAAAATATTATGCATTTATTTATAGTATTAATTTTTTATATTTAATTTAAACAAATAATAATATATATCATAAATTTTAAAAAATAATTCATTTAAACATAAAAAATATTACTTTATATTTTAATATTTAATATATATATATATATATATATTATAATTTTGTGATTTAAATTTGTCTTATTAATTGAACTGGAAATTGAATTAAACTAATCGATTTTAAATTTTGTTCAATTTAAAAAAAATGATCGATTTTAATTGTAGATTCATTTAGTGTGGATTATTGTGTATTAATATATACATATTATAATTATATATAATATATATTCATGGAGTGTTTTATATTAAATACATTAAATATAAAAAAAATACATTAAGAAAAGGAAAAAAAAACACTTAATTGACTGTTATAATACACATCTTTTATATGATATGGTACAATTTTTATTTTTTTTAACTCTCTTTTCTTTTCTTGTAATGCAATAACTATTTTATAGTTTTACATATGTATAGAGTGTGTTTGTAAGAAATTTGTAATTTTGTATATGTATGTCCAATCAAGTATCTTTTCAAGTGGTTTATGAAACTTATTTATAGTCATCTATAAAATTATAAATTGCTTTACTTTCTTTTAGTAAAATAATTATTGTTAATATATAAATTTATACAATTGAAAAAAATAATTGTTTTATAAATAATTTAATAAACAATTTTTCTTTATTTTAACATTAAGTCTTTCAACCTAGGTAAAATAATGTCTTTTTATTAGTCAATAGAAATATAAATTAAAATGATGCGTGAGAAATCGTGATAATTATTGTAGTTATTTCAAATTTACAAAATGATAATTTGAAATGGGCTAAGTCAATTTTTTAATTCTTAAGATAAGTCACAGAGTCCATCAATAATTTTTTTATATATATGTTTTATAAATAAATATTTAAATAATTTGTATTTATTTATTAATTAATTAAATTTTTTATTAAATAAATTAAAAAATATTATATTTATATATTTAAATAATTAATTATAATTAATAATTTAAATATAATTAATTTAATTTTACAATTAAAATTATAATATATATTTATAAGATAAAAAATATAATTTTTTAATTATAATTCTTTTTAATTTATTTTTAATATATAAATATTTTTTAAAAGGAATACTTAAGCCACCTTAATCTACTGAGTTAAGAGTTAGACGACGAGACACGTGAAAACGAATTAAAACCACCACTCTTCCTATAATTGCTGGCCCACGAAGCCTAGGATGGCAAAAAAGAAACTCTAGTTAAAAAATGCACCACATGAAGGTAGAAATAGAAAACTTTTAGACCTCTTACTCAATTCCTTCACACTTTATCGAAAACTACCTCAAAATATCAATTTAATAAATAAAGATAAATATCTAATAATCCATTACAATAAAAAGAAAACAGTGGAGTGTCATATTCCTCTTATTCAATTCCTTCACGTTCATATACTTAACCTATTAGAGAGAAATTTAGATGTTTCCTTCAAATCCGGATAATAATACTTTTTTTAATTAGTATTTAATACACAAAGAATATAAATTATTGTAAAATTTCTTAACTCAAACTTTAATTTTTTGATACAATTGGAAAATATAAAATTTTTATTAATAATTTAACGAGTAAATTTTCCTTTTTTTATTTCATTTGTCATTTTTTGTATAGAAATATGAATTGAAATGAGGTGTCAAGAATCCTGTTGATACTTGTAGCTATTTCAAACTTAGATCATGGCAAGAAAAATAGTTAAAAAAGCCACCCCATGAAAAATAGATAACTTTAGTCCTCTTATGATAATTCACATGAAGGTTGTATTCAAACTAAAATTGTACGTTAAAAGAAAAAGGGGTGGAGTAGCACTTAACCAGATGGATGGCGAGAGACATAACAGCCAAAAAGGGGTTGAAGACGTTGAATGGACCACAATGTTTGATCACTTGTGCATAGCAAGAAAGCCACGTTCACACCTACGTCAACACTCCACACCAAATCTCCAACCACCACTTTGTTTCCATTTGCCTTATTTGCTACCTTCCTTACTTCCTCCACAAAATTTCTCTTTTTCTATCTTCACACCCTTTTCTTTTATAACTGTCCCTTTCTTTCCGGAGATATTATGCCATTTTACCAATTTATGGGTGCGTTTATCAAATATTTAAATATGTCTATTTTTTAACATCCAAAACGTCATCTCAGAACCACGCATGCACTGGCATGACTACTACCTCAAACTTCAGGATCTAGAAAAATACAAAACTAGGGAAAAATAATTAAATATTACAAGTAATTTGTTCAGAAAAGAAACAAATTATCCATTGATGAATAAAAGACATTCATCTTACAACAATAGGAAATGATTCCTCCTCACACAAAATGAGTAACTACTGACCCTGCAACTTCTAAGTTCCCTAATCCTAGCAAGGCATGGATCCAAAAAGGCATGCCATGGAGGAATACATCATCTATATACTATCACACTACAAATAAGATATATTGCACCAAAAAAAAAAAAAAACCTATACACTGTACAAGGGATGGAGTGAGATGATGATGGATTTTGCTTACAAACTGACCACATCATCTCCCAGCAATGGTCAAGATTCTTTCTTTGGATACCTCAGAATTGAGGGTCAATGAAGGTAAAGGAAGAGATTCTGGACTAAGTTCAGGAGTAGTTGCCAACTCTTCATTTTCGTGTGCAGGTGGTAAAGGTTTTGGCAAGTAGGTGAAGGAAAGATCTTTGTTGGCAGCAAGAGCTAGGAGCTCTTTCTCCTCTAACCCTTTGGTTGGGCCCAAACTGCATCTATCTGTGGTGTGTTTGGCCAATGCATCTTTAAACTTCTTGATCTGTAATTAAATCATTTAATTAGTCATCTTCAAATTGAATGTTGTAACTATTAAGGAATCAATCCATCTTGTTACAATGAAACAACAGAATAAAAGAACATATCCTACAACAAATTCATGCATTTCAATATATTATTACTATTAGTAGTTCAACAGTGTTAATCTTTGATCTCAAGTTCACAGAATTCCACAAATGTAAATCTTATTTTTATCCAAATAGGCATCATGTAATAATAAACAACTAGTTAAACGCCAATAGCACATAACTACGGAGTTAATAAGATAGGTAATTTAAATCTTCTTAAAAGATCATAAAACGATGAAACATAACTGTGCCACCCAGATTTCAAACATGCATCATATGAACTAACCAAATTAAGCATAATATTATCAAGACAGGTATGAAGTAAAATTGATATAGCATGTATACTAACCGTGGCATTGGTGCAGCTAAAGCTACATAATCGACCATGAGCACCCCTGTAAAAGCGGAAGAAGGGAAGAACGTGGACATTGAGGCTATAACACATGGACTTATGCTCCTCAAAGTTCACCTGAAGGAATTGAACATCAGGATTCATCTCTGCCAGTTGACATATCTGCCATACCATAAACCAAGGAACATCAGAAAAACAACACTCATGAACAGATCATGAAATCATAAAATGGCATGTGGGCTGCTATGTGAATTGGATCAAGGGGATGATACCTTAGGGTGAAGGGCTTTGCAGCCACCACAACCAGGAGAAAAGAAATCAACCACCACCAACTTGTCCCCTGCGTTTAACAGTGATTCAACAAGATCTTGGGCCGAAGTCACCTCTTTCATGTTGGGTTGAAGCCCCTTTTCCCACCATTTCTGAACTTTCCCTATTCGAAGGGTCATCTGCAAAATTTCACAAGAAAGGTTCAGAAAATCCTGGAGAAAAAACATGAAAATCTTAAGAAATTTGAAGAAAACCTGTCACAAGAACTCAAAATCCTCCCAATATAAATGAAAATACAAGGATATTGGAAACCAACATGTGACGCATATTAACAAAATTCCCAGCAGCAAAAAGGTTCTAATTCGTCAAAAGAAAAAAAAAAAAGAAATTAAGGGTAAAGTAAAACCCATAAGGGGTAGTAATATAACAAACCTGAGCCGCAGTTGAAGCTCTCAACCGCGAACTGGCCCTGTTGGGTATTCCTCTATTGACATGAAAGACGAGCCTTTTACCCTGAAACCCAGAAGAAGGGGACCAAGATCTGAGAACATGAGACTTTAACTTGAGAGAAGGGAAACTTCCGACGCCAGAAACGAAACTAGAAGAATTGGAAACCGTCGATACTCTTCGATGGTGGCGTTGACTACTAACATGCCAGGAAGAAACCAAACTCGCCTTGGTCAAAACCTCAGCCATTAAATTTTCCTTCGCTTCAGAAACCACAACAACGAAGAAACCAGAAAAGCTTGAGAGAGAAGAAGAGGAAAGAGAAAACGCTGAGGAGAAAATCGACGTGTAAAGTTGCGGGGTTGAAATGGAAAAAAAAGGATAAACGAAAGTGGATAAAGTTGAATCGCGGGTCAGTGAACGGCTGTGATGACTAGAGGCAGAGATCAACGGTGGCAGAGCGATCAAGCAGACACGCGGCGAATTGTTGTGGTTGCCTGGAAAATCGCGATTGGGCAAGGGAAGATTAAGGAGGTGGGGCCCGCATGTGCGGATTTATCGACACGTGTTTAGTTGCGTTTCCGTTAGATTTGATCTGTGGTTTTGGATAAAGGTTTTGACTTGTTCTGTTTTTTCTCTCGCATCATGGCCGTTCATATAAATTTTGTTTTTTCTTTTCTTTAAGAAAAAAATTATTTTTACACCAATATTTAACAAAATTCGGATTAAATATGTTCATAATCATAATAATAATAATAATGCTATATTTTATTCGTAAGAAGTCAAATAAAACTATTATATTTGAGTTAATTTTTTTGTAAACTTATAAAATAAAAATTATCGTAGAACACTTATAGACTAATAATTCCACTAGGTGAAATTCAACTTTGAGGATTACTGTAGTATATAACATCATTAGAAATATCTATTGATATTATATTTATAAAGTGATTAGTTTAAAATAAAATTAATTAAAAAATATTATTTTATTAATAAATGAAATTGTTGAGTAAATGTTTGTTGATATTGGATTATTAATCTATTTTTTTCTTTTTATAATGCATATTTTTTGCTGATAGTTGGAAAAGTATTTTTAAAAATATCGTCATGATAAAATAAATTGAAAAGAAAAAAGAAAAACTATGAATAAAAAAAATGAAAAAAATAGAGATGAAAGGAGAAAAATATATTTAAATATTAAATATGTGCTTATTGAAGCTATTTTTACATAGAAGTCGGTTGATAATACTTTGTAATTTTTATAAAAAATATTCTAAGTATATATTTTTATATTTCTTTTTTTTCTTAATAATGATAATATTTTTTTATTTTCTATTAATAAATATATATATATAGAAAAATATTTTTATATAAAATAATTATTTAATAAATCTTATATTTTTCAATTTTTAATGATAATAAAAATGTCATATGAAATTATATTTAAATTTAACGATTTTTTTTCTTTTTATATAAGATTATGAAAAGTTGTATGTAAGCGCTCAATTTAAGGAAATTAAAAGTAAAAATAGTTTAGGGACAATAAAGTTTAAGTTTTATTAATTAAGTTAAAAAAATTATAAATAAATATATTAATCATGCAAATTTTATTGTCACAAAATCATTATTTCAAAGTTTATTTTTTTTTCAACTTTTCTATTTTGTCTATTTTTTTATATTCAAACACATCTTAGTGTTTTTAGAATAAATGATAACATTTTTATAACTCATTAAAAAAATTTATAAAATAAGTTTCTCTTTATCCATTTTTAAAGTTTTTACATGTAAATTTGAGGGATTTGACTTTTGTTGAACAAAAATGAATCTTAACTTGTGTTAGGAATATTGTGATATGTTTAATCTGTTAATTGAAATTTATGAATTTAAGAGATTTTGGAGTTCTAAAAACAAAGATTATAAATTTGAGGAAAGGGAAGCTAGTAAACATTTAATTCCCAAATATACAAGATCTAAACTCTAATGATAACTTGGTTACATTATTTGATTTACATGAATTTTATTGTTGATATTTGAATGTGATTGAATGAGTTGAATTATATTAATGATGTGTATGATAAGAAAAAAATGTTATGAAGAATTTAAAGTGTTCCTCACAATATTCTACTCTACTAGAAGAGAGTATAAGAAAAAACAAATACAAATTTAAAGTGTTTTTTACTAGATGTCAAAACATCATGGACTTTAAGTCCATTATATAACCACTATCATTACTCTATTACTTATTTTAGGTGATGTGAGACTTTTCAATATTTATTATTTTCATCAACGTACTAATCTCCACCATGATTAAAATAAATTCATCTTCCTTTTTATCTTCTTTGTCTACACTAATAATCATTTATACTTCACCATAAAGAGTATACTCACTTAGAATTAAACATTTTAAGAAATTTATTTTATTACATACCTGCATCAATGTTAACCAATGTCCATGTATAATAACCACACACCCTACATCAATATTAGTCAATGTCCACATACAATTACCACTAGTAAAACCTTATCCTTTTCCAAGTTAGAAATTCTTCCTATCAACGTCTTGTGTAATCCAGATTATATCAACACATCTTTGGCTTGAGTTTGCCACAAGCCAAAATTGGTCCTTCCATCAAATTTCTTTATGTCGCATTTGACAACACATGCAAATGATATTGCAACTTCAACAATCAGGGATGATTATCTTACAATAAGAAAATAATTTTTTTTATATGGAAGATCATACTAAGTTGCAATACAGAACATATCCTATTGAATCATATGGAATATCAGACTAAGTTACAACCACGGAGCATCTTCTATTGAATCATAAGTTTTGATATCACTCTGATTGAAAAAAAAATCACGAAGAAAATCAATGTCTTTATCTCTAGTAATTACACTACTAATATAGAAATAAGATAAAAACAATCAACAAAAGAATATAACTTAGAAACTCTAAAACCGGAGAAAAATCACAACCGTTATCTAATAACAACAAAAGAATAATTCTATGTGAAAATTTTACACATAGACTACTCTCTCATGGTCTTTGACCTTAAATATATTCACATTCTCTAAAGTAATAATTAAAACCAAACCTCACAACACCTACTACAAAAGTATAAGAAAAGTCAAATACAATATTAAAGTATTTTTTATTAGGGTGTTATATATCATGGACTTTAAATCCATTATATAATTACTATCACCACTCCATTACTTATCCTAGGTGATATGGAATTTTCCAAGATATTATTATTTTCATTAACCAAAAAATGTAAAATGTTATGGTAGAATAACTATATTTGAATTAAACATAACATGCTTTAAAAAAAAAATAGTGTAACATATAAAATTCTATTTAGTGTCTCAAAATTAGTTTGAGGGATATTTTTGTAGGTTTGATAATTGTATATTTTACTCAATCAACAACTTGTCACTTAAGCGAAATGTGTAGCTGAGATAAGAACTCTCCTTATATATATTTTCGCTAAAATGAAAGAGTTTTGCTTAAATGATAATTTCTTGCTTTAAAAAAAATTTCTCAAAAGATTTATGTTCAAACATCTAAAAATCATAAAAAATAGATTTGAACTTCAAATTAAATGATTTATATATGCAAATTGAAGTTTGGGAAATAAGGAATTAAATGAAGCACACATTTGTAAAAAAATATATCTATAGAGATGTTGTAACAAAGAATAAACAAAATGTAAATTAGAAAAATATATTTTTTATTATAATGCGGGAAATTGTACGTAAATAACTTAAATATTATAAATATATATATATATATATATATATATATATATATATATATATATTATTATGAACATGAAATTAGGTGGGTTGAATATTATCACAAGTAAAGAAAAAAAAAGTTTGTAATATGAAATCTATCATAAAATTATTATAGAATGCATCAATTATTTATGGTGGAAATCATATGAAGTAAGGTCACCATCAAATTATGGACTTCGATTCAACTCTCTTATGTATAGTGACATTGACTATAATTCCTATTCTAGTGATTACAACTTTGATTTCTAGTAAAAACAAATTTTTTGACAAAGAGATTAATTCCGGATTCGTCAATTATCTTATGGTATTATAATTTTTTATTATCTTTAACCTTAAAATTTATTTAATATTATATAATTATTTATTATAATTTTCAAATTAAACATTGTCGTCATTTCTAAAATTTTAAAAAATCTTAAAACTTTTTTTTATAAAAATTTATATTATAAATTATTAAAATTTAATTTATATAAAAAATTAATTCATAATTGAAAATGATATAATAATAACTGATTAACTAATATATAAGTAAGGCGAATCAATGTCTTAAATATATTATTATTTAAATAAATAATAATAAATACTTTTAAATTTTAGTTTTATAAAATATAAATAAAAATATAGATACTGATAAAAATTATCTATTAAAAAAAACTTTGTAAAAATTATAAGTATAATTTGAGTAAAAATACGTTTATTTATAAGAAACACACCATTAAAAGAATGTTTTTTTCAGGTTTAAAATTACTTAAATATATCTTATTTTTAAAAATATTATAAATTTTAAAACATAGAATTAGATACACAAGATTTATATATATATATATATATATATATATATATATATATATATATAAATATTGTCGTTAATATTATTATTTTATATTATCATATTTTTATTATTACAATTACTTTTAAATATAATTTGTATTATTATTTTTGTTTTTGTTTTTATTATCATTATAATAAATAATAATAATAACTGTTATTATAATAAAAATAAATATAACTAATAATAACATTATGAATACAATAATAATAATAATTAAAAATCATTATAATAATTATAAAAAAAGTTAAGAAATTAATTATTAATAATATCAGGACAGCATTTTAGATAAAATGTTTATGATATATTTATATTTAATAAACTATGATGACACAAATTATATTATAATTTTTATTATAAGATTATATAATTTATATATAAATATTAAAAATTTAAATGATTAAGATAAAATAATAATATAAAAATTTTTAAAATAATAATTTTGTTTGGTAATATTTTATTATAAAATATATAATAGATATTTTATTAAAATATATTTAATAATTTTATAGTGTAAAAAATAAAAAATAAAACAATTTAAATTGCATGTTCTGAATGCAAAATAGTTCATTTTGGTAGTTTAAAAAAAATATTTGGCAGACATTTCAAAGAATACTAAAAAAGTCAAAATAAATTTTGATTTGTACAGATGAATTGAAAATGAAAGAAAAAGTAAAACATATTTATGAAACCTAAATATTACATTGATATTAGTCTATTCTAAATAACTTTTTATTTGTTATTTTTATAAAACTTTATTTTTATTTTTCTAATTGTGATATATTTTTATATTTTAATATAATATTTATTTATTTTCTTATAATAATAATAATAAAATTGTTTTACCTTTTTCTGATCGACTTCAACAGCATGGCCACAGGTTTCTTAACCTTTTCCTCTGATTTCACCATAATTTTCTTTCAATTTTTTTTCTCATGAATCAATTCATTTCATTTTGTCAACTAATTAATAATATTTGTGTTCCAGTTGGCACCTAGCATTCCTTTTTGCAATAAAGCAACAAATACTAACAAGAACTTCAAAATAAGAAGCAGCAGCATACTCGAGATGAGGAGGAAAAGGATAATTGACACCAAGTCTATCAGCAATTGGCTCAGGAATCGGGAGGCCTCTTGATTTTGTATCTCCATCAATTTTGGTTACATTTGCATTCTTCAGCATTGATGTTTTAGAGCCCCTCCCCTACCCAACTGATCTTCCCTACTTTTTTCACCATTACCAGTTAGGTTATTTGCGCTCTCTGCTGAAAAGACTTTACCAAGAAATCTCAACCAGAGTAATCCCAAGTAAACAAAGATACAATAATTTTAAACAAATATGTAGTGTTCTTTATAGTGTTGCAACACCAGGAGCCAATTGAAAAAATATCAAAATAGATTGCTACAAAGTAAAACCAAACAAGAAAACTATATGTCAAGGCTGTCTCTTCAAATATGAATTTCAATATTTCAGATATATATAAAAAGAAATATGATTTAATTAATAATACCCATTTAGTTGACGTTGTGCTTGAGAGGCCACAATCTCATTTTTGAAATCCACAACAGCACTATTTTTCAACCTGCATTAGATCAAGAAATTAAGATTAAACCATCATTTGGCAATGTTCATAAGCACAAATAAGTTGGAACAAAAATAATAAAATCCCAAATGTCATTCAAATCTTCCATGACATTAAATCAAGAACATGCATGAATGACTTGGAAGCACTACCAAGCACAAAATCTAGGTTCAGCAAAGTAAGTTTATGATGGGAATCCAATTTAAGATATGCTGACAACTATCTTATTGATTGAGAAAAGTATGAATTATTACTAGATAAACCCTTGCAATCCCAGAGCAAAAGCTCTTCAATGAAGAAAAGGTCCTTCTCCACCCAAGTCAGAGTATACACTCTAGACTCCCAAATAGAAAGTACAACCTTAGTGCAACATTCCTTCTCTCCTCTCCCCAAATATAACAGACTGTGTATATTATTGTCTTTTTCTCTCTCTATATAGATACCTATTCACTCCTTCCAATTCATAAGGCAGTTAAGTAAGTCTTGTATGTTCGGGCCCATGGTCAAGAACTTATCAATACTGTTGAGATTTGTTGCTTATGTATATTTTAGTATTCTTTTTCAATGTTCCTTAGACTAGAGTTAAGGGTTTGAGCTGAGACTCATACCCTTGCTATTGTACCCCTTTTTTCTATAAATGCAATGTATCAGTGCCTTTGATCACTGAATCAAACCTTAAATAAGTTTTTTCAAGTTGTTATCAGAGCAGGTAAGATCCAGCATTGATTTTCGGTCACCTTTATCAGCTCCGACCGCCGTTAGCCGTCGTCCGTCGTCGTCACCGCCGGCCACGGTCTCCATTTGGACCGATGAAAGAAGAATTTTGCTCGCCTCGAAAAATAGACCTAACATGTTTTCCTAATTGACAAGATTCACATGTAGCAAGTGTCATAGATCTATACTTAGCTTTTGCACTAGATCGGGCAACAACACTTTGCTTTTTACTCTTCCAAGAAATCAAATTTCCTCCAATAAAGATATAATACCCAATAGTCGATCTTCTATCAATTGGACAATCAGCCCAGTCTGCATCACAATAACCAAGAATTTGAGTATTATCTTTATCTTCATATAATAACTCTTGTCTTATGGCCCCTTTAATATATCTCAGAATGCGAATCAAGGTATCCTAGTGATCAACACAAGGACTTTGCATGAATTGACTAACTACAACTGGATAAGAAAGATCCGGTTTGGTAATAGTAAGATAAATGAGTTTACCAACCAACCTCCTATATCTTTCTGGATCAAACAACTCCTTCAAGATTTAAAATTTTGTGATATTGAACAAATGAAGTTATTGTGTGATAATTAGACAGCTCTCCATATTGTATCCAACCCAATCTTTCACAAAAGAACAAAACATATTGAGATTGATTATTATTTTGTTAGAGAGAAGTTGTTGTCTAAGGAACTTGTAACTGAATTTGTAAGCTCCAATTAGCAACTGACAGATATTTTAACTAAATCCTTAAGAGGACCTAGGATTCAATTCATTTGTTTCAAGCTTAGTACATATTATTTATATGCTCCAGCTTGAGTGGAAGTGTTGAGATCTGTTGTTTATGTATCTTTTAGTATTCTTTTTCAATGTTCCTTAGACTAGGGTTAAGGGTTTAGGCCGAGACCCATATCCTCTCTATTATACCCTTTTTTTTCTATAAATACAATATATCAGTGCCTTTGGTCGCTGAATCAAATCCTAAATAAGTTTTCTCAAGTAATATCACCTCCTTAAAATTCTGCCTTGTCCTCAAGGTAGGGGAAAGAGATCAGCTCTCTACTAGATGCTGCAACTTCTCAAAGATAATGCAACAGGAAAGTTAATGTTGCTTCTTATGGATGCTTTGTGAGCATAACTTTCCCTGCCTCCTAGAGCTCAAGTTCCAATTTACTTCTTTGCATAATTCCAGACACCACCAGCTGGGTTCAGAAAAATTACCATAAGAATACCAGACAGTATTGCAAACATAAGCAAAGAAGCCATAATTTTGGCCCTAACTATATGGTAATCTGATAGTAACCCAGAATTTGGGAAAGAAGACCAACTACAATAGGTGAAATGATTGCCAAAACATCAGGAATTATCATGTTTCTCAGTGATGTAGACACTACAATATCAACACAACAACTGTAATCTGGTTTGTTTGTGTACTCCATTGTACTAGGTCTCTCCATGAATTGCCCTCTCAAATTGTTTCCAACCTCTTGTGCAGTAAACAAACAGTCCCAAAGCAGGAAAGCCAGCAACTCAATAATGAAAAGTTCAGAAATTGCGATATCAACCTGTTTAGAAGATTCCATGAGCACATGCATTAACCTCATCCATAGGACCATATAAGCACTAAAGGACAGATGCAAGAGCAGCAAAACCGATAGCAAATCCTTTGGTGGAAGCTTTGGTTCTGTTCCTATGGCATCAAGGACGTTAGTCATTCCTTGAGCACTTCCACGCTGCCCACTCATCTCTATAATTCCTCTAGCATTATCAGCTACTGGGTCAAACAAATCCATTTTAAGAGTATAATGCAATTGTTGCTACAGATGTGGCAGACAGCCCCACCAGTTGGGTTTACTGTTTCATCTACCAGTCTAAAGGTATGGCCCAACCAGAAAGTTGAGATAATTGAGACACTGATGACAAGGATGGGAAAAATAGTATATTCTTGACTTAAACTTACTCTAACAATCGTATGTGTCCCATGGCAGTAGAGCAGTAAAAGGATAGATAATATTCACACAAGCTCATACTTCTAGTCAGTATAATACTTGGAAATCCAGACAAAAATGTAAGCAATGATAATACGCATCAATTGCTCGGCGTGAAGTAACAATTGGGGAATCAACCATATGCCATAACTGCTAAAACTATTGCAATCAAAAATCCTTTCTGAAGAATTGTCATCACATCCTTCGGAAGAACAACCACTATTATAGTTTCGGGTATACTCCTAATGGAAAATACTCCAACGGATTAAATTACTGATTAACTGAGCGAAAAAGAAACAATCCATGGCCATGTTCAAACACCTAAGACCTTCAAATTGAAAAAAAAAAAAAAAAAGTGGGAAAATAAATACCTCTTGCAGTTAAATACCTGGCACTAGAGCAAGGGCGCACTGAGAAAGCGCCGAAATTGGCGAAGGTTCGATAAAGGGTGTCATGAGGAATGGCTTCTAGTAGGTGCTTAATCAAAAGGGTCACCCCTTCTGCTGATTCCGCGCCACAGGGCTTTGAGTCTGTGTCCTGTACCGCAAAGTGAGGGGAAGAATCGAAAGCCATGAAATGTAATGTGCCGCTTTCTCTCCTCTGTCGGAACACGATACAAATTTTAGTTAATTTCAACATTTAATTAACAGGAGCATCCAAGATAAACTAAATAAAAGCAAGAACCACACAGAATATTCTGAAACAACATCCTAACATTTTAATTTACAATAGACTCCTAAGAAATATTTTCATATTGTAGAAACAAAAAATCCATACAGATGTTTGTGATGCAGATGGCGAAGCTGATTGTGATGTTGATACTGCCGAAGAATTCTTCACACCAAGACTAGGTGCCACCTGAAAAAATATACATAAAATTAGGATTCCACAAAGAATAATTCTAATTATTCTAAAATGTTAACATGAAGGAAATATTAGTATAAAAAATAATTTTAAAGATGGGAAGCCTAGAATCAACATACCCAAAATAAACAACAATAAATAAATAAAATAGAAAAATGCCCATTAGTGCCCAAGGATCCTAAAAATGTTGGGTTTGGGAAAGGTATGATGTGTCTTACCCCGTAGATGCCAGGTGGACTTATTCCCAACATTCATCAAATTATTATGATGCGTAGAACCCACAACATTTATTAATTTTTTTTCATAAAAACAACAACAGTAGCATCAGAAAATAGACATTCTAATATATAATTCAGGGGGTATATGCTAACATGCCAAAGTTAATAATCTACATTTGCCAATCCCATAACACAAATCTACAACATACACATCCAGTTGTATTTGTGCGTGTGTATGTTCACAACCAAGGCAATAATGCTTAAACAGATACCTTTACCTTAGAAATACCAGTGGGAATTGTAACAAGATCTTCTGGTGTCTCCACCTTGTCTAAAGGTAATGAACTGTATAGTTCATCAACGTCATTGAAATCATCAAAATCCTCCTGCAGAAGAAAATGAAAATTAGAAAACACATGTTGTACAGAAGAAAGCATTAGGGAATGTTTGGATGGAGAGGAATTTGTAGGGAATTTTCCATTTTAATGAAAATTATAAATATTTTATACAGAAGTTAAATAATATATGAATAAGAAATTGTTGGAAGGTCATGTGACAATCTCTCATTATGTTGTTAATCTAATTTCGGTTTAATTTTTTAAATTAGGGGAATGTCAATGGCCATGGGAAAGGTAAACCATCACTTCCACAAAATATATGTCCAATAACTCATACCAATTTGGGTGGCCTGCTCTTTCTTTTCTTAACAGAAAGCCCTTCAAGCTCTGCTTCAAAGTTATCAATCTGTGATTCTAACTCTCCAACCTACTCAAATATTTAAAATAACCAAAAAAAAAAAAAATGTAACTGATGAGACGACAAACAAGTATGTAAGTCAAATTAATATGAACTCGCCTAAATAATATATGATCAAAGAGATATTTCACTGAATACTGCCAGGAAAACAAGCACCAGTAAAAACAGGATTCTAAAAGAAATTGCTGAAAGGTCTCAACAGTCAACCAACACCCATTGATTCCAGTTCTCACTTCACCCAATCCCAGAGTGGTGGGCCAATTATGAATAGCCAATTGCTCTTTGAGGGTTTCTTTCTGGACTCGCTTGCTTGCCCAGAGGACGCGGAGATTCTACAACTACATCGCTTTCCTTGTCTCGTTTCATATACAAACTCGATTTTATGGATTCCGAACAAAGGAGGTTGATGATTTAAAAAAATAATAATTCAGATGGATAGAAACATTCCTGATATAAAGTTAAAAAAATAATTAAATAATCCTATAATAACTATAAAAATTATTATTTAACTTGCTTATAAATACTATTAAGAGAAAGCAAACCTGAAAAAATAAAAAATTATCTAACAAATATATAAATTTATAATGAAATATGTGAAAAAAATAAATAAATTTACTTAATTTATATTTTAGAAATCCTCTTTAGATATAAGGTTAGAAACATTTTTCTTCCAAGCCCTAAACAAGAACTAGAAATTTGAACAAATGTGTAAAAAACTAGTTATAACATTCCATATATTAATTATGCTAGGAGTCATCACCAATGGTTATGTAAATATAAAATTATATAACTAAAAATAATTTATACGAATTAATTAATATTAATAAGTGTAAATTTACTTTAAAATCAATAAATCTTTCATTCTTCGTATTAAAATAATTAATAAATTTTATTAGAACTTAAAGATGACGTAACTTCAGACCAAACATGTATTTTACATTAATAAATAATTTCTCAGGACTATTTGTTTTGCCTAATTTATTTCATAACACGAGTAAATGTGAATGTTATTTTAAAGTTTAAATTAAAAATGATAAAATTAAAAGAATGATGTCAATTAATTGTTAGGTTTTTTTAATTTAAAATTACTTTTAAGAAGAGAAAGACAATAAAATTCGTATTTAATATATATTTATTAAATGGGTTAATATGAGTGATTTTTATCCATTTTATATTAAAATGAAATATAAAATTGGAATGAATTTTATTTTGGTTTTATTTTATTAAAAAAAATCAATCAAATATTTTATGGTTTAATTTAGATAATGTTTATAATTTTGTATTATAAAGTATTACATATATTATAATAAAATAATTATTCAATTAATAAATATATTATAAAAATAATATGCATATATTTATAGTATTAATTTATCTTTATATTTAATTTTAATAATATATATATATATATATATATATATATATATATATCATAAATTAAAAAAATTAATTGATTCAATCACAATAAATATTATTTTAAAATTTAATTTTAACCTTATATATTATAATTTCGTGATCTGAATTTGTTTATGATAAAAAAATTTAATTAAATTAACCAATTTAATTTTTTTTAAATAAATAAATATTTTGATTGATTTTAATTATATATCGATTTTATTTTTAGATTGATTTAGTGTTGAATATTGTGTATTAATTTATATCTATTATAATTGTATTTAATATATATTTATGGAGTGTTTTGTATTAAATACATTATATAAAAAAAACATTAAGAAAAAGAAAAAAACTTAATTCACTGTTGTAATACAAATCTTTTATATGCTAAAGTACATTTTTTGTTTGCTTGTTGAACTCTCTTTTCTTTTCTTATAATGCAATAACTATTTTACATATGTACACAGTGTGTTTGTAAAAAATTGTAAGTTTTTTATGTCTGTCCAATTAAGTATATTTTTAAATTGTTTATGAAACTTATTTATACTCATCTACAAAATTATAAATTGTTTTACTTTCTTTTAATTAGTATTTAATATGTTACAAATTGATGATTCTACTGTTATTTATTGTAAAATTTATAGAAAATTACCTCAAAATATCAATTTAATAAATAAAGATAAATATCTAATAATCCATTACAATAAAAAGAAAACAGTGGAGTGTCATATTCCTCTTATTCAATTCCTTCACGTTCATATACTTAACCTATTAGAGAGAAATTTAGATGTTTCCTTCAAATCCGGATAATAATACTTTTTTTAATTAGTATTTAATACACAAAGAATATAAATTATTGTAAAATTTCTTAACTCAAACTTTAATTTTTTGATACAATTGGAAAATATAAAATTTTTATTAATAATTTAACGAGTAAATTTTCCTTTTTTTATTTCATTTGTCATTTTTTGTATAGAAATATGAATTGAAATGAGGTGTCAAGAATCCTGTTGATACTTGTAGCTATTTCAAACTTAGATCATGGCAAGAAAAATAGTTAAAAAAGCCACCCCATGAAAAATAGATAACTTTAGTCCTCTTATGATAATTCACGTGAAGGTTGTATTCAAACTAAAATTGTACGTTAAAAGAAAAAGGGGTGGAGTAGCACTTAACCAGATGGATGGCGAGAGACATAACAGCCAAAAAGGGGTTGAAGACGTTGAATGGACCACAATGTTTGATCACTTGTGCATAGCAAGAAAGCCACGTTCACACCTACGTCAACACTCCACACCAAATCTCCAACCACCACTTTGTTTCCATTTGCCTTATTTGCTACCTTCCTTACTTCCTCCACAAAATTTCTCTTTTTCTATCTTCACACCCTTTTCTTTTATAACTGTCCCTTTCTTTCCGGAGATATTATGCCATTTTACCAATTTATGGGTGCGTTTATCAAATATTTAAATATGTCTATTTTTTAACATCCAAAACGTCATCTCAGAACCACGCATGCACTGGCATGACTACTACCTCAAACTTCAGGATCTAGAAAAATACAAAACTAGGGAAAAATAATTAAATATTACAAGTAATTTGTTCAGAAAAGAAACAAATTATCCATTGATGAATAAAAGACATTCATCTTACAACAATAGGAAATGATTCCTCCTCACACAAAATGAGTAACTACTGACCCTGCAACTTCTAAGTTCCCTAATCCTAGCAAGGCATGGATCCAAAAAGGCATGCCATGGAGGAATACATCATCTATACACTATCACACTACAAATAAGATATATTGCACCAAAAAAAAAAAAAAAACTATACACTGTACAAGGGATGGAGTGAGATGATGATGGATTTTGCTTACAAACTGACCACATCATCTTCCAGCAATGGTCAAGATTCTTTCTTTGGATACCTCAGAATTGAGGGTCAATGAAGGTAAAGGAAGAGATTCTGGACTAAGTTCAGGAGTAGTTGCCAACTCCTCATTTTCGTGTGCAGGTGGTAAAGGTTTTGGCAAGTAGGTGAAGGAAAGATCTTTGTTGGCAGCAAGAGCTAGGAGCTCTTTCTCCTCTAACCCTTTGGTTGGGCCCAAACTGCATCTATCTGTGGTGTGTTTGGCCAATGCATCTTTAAACTTCTTGATCTGTAATTAAATCATTTAATTAGTCATCTTCAAATTGAATGTTGTAACTATTAAGGAATCAATCCATCTTGTTACAATGAAACAACAGAATAAAAGAACATATCCTACAACAAATTCATGCATTTCAATATATTATTACTATTAGTAGTTCAACAGTGTTAATCTTTGATCTCAGGTTCACAGAATTCCACAAATGTAAATCTTATTTTTATCCAAATAGGCATCAAGTAATAATAAACAACTAGTTAAACGCCAATAGCACATAACTACGGAGTTAATAAGATAGGTAATTTAAATCTTCTTAAAAGATCATAAAACGATGAAACATAACTGTGCCACCCAGATTTCAAACATGCATCATATGAACTAACCAAATTAAGCATAATATTATCAAGCCAGGTATGAAGTAAAATTGATATAGCATGTATACTAACCGTGGCATTGGTGCAGCTAAAGCTACATAATCGACCATGAGCACCCCTGTAAAAGCGGAAGAAGGGAAGAACGTGGACATTGAGGCTATAACACATGGACTTATGCTCCTCAAAGTTCACCTGAAGGAATTGAACATCAGGATTCATCTCTGCCAGTTGACATATCTGCCATACCATAAACCAAGGAACATCAGAAAAACAACACTCATTAACAGATCATGAAATCATAAAATGGCATGTGGGTTGCTATGTGAATTGGATCAAGGGGATGATACCTTAGGGTGAAGGGCTTTGCAGCCACCACAACCAGGAGAAAAGAAATCAACCACCACCAAATTGTCCCCTGCGTTTAACAGTGACTCTACAAGATCTTGGGCCGAAGTCACCTCTTTCATGTTGGGTTGAAGCCCCTTTTCCCACCATTTCTGAACTTTCCCTATTCGAAGGGTCATCTGCAAAATTTCACAAGAGAAGTTCAGAAAATCCTGGAGAAAAAACATGAAATCATGCCCAAATAAGATATAAATGAAAACAATTGAAAAGTTCGTACGAAAATTAGCAAAAAGGAAAAAAAAAAAGAATCAATTGGTTCTTAATTCCTAAAACCACCACGAGAGAAAAACAAAATCTTTAATATAAGCAATTTCGAAACATAACAAAATTCGACCCCCCCACCTCTTTAATCCCAAACTTTATAAAATAAACATAAATCTTCAGAAATTTGAAGAAAATCTGTCACAAGAACACAAAATCCTCCCAATATAAACGAAAATACAAGGATATTGGAAACCAACATGTGACGCATATTAACAAAATTCCCAGCAGCAAAAAGGTTCTAATTCGTCAAAAGAAAAAAAAAATGAAATTAAGGGTAAAGTAAAACCCATAAGGGGTAGTAATATAACAAACCTGAGCCGCAGTTGAAGCTCTCAACCGCGAACTGGCCCTGTTGGGTATTCCTCTATTGACATGAAAGACGAGCCTTTTACCCTGAAACCCAGAAGAAGGGGACCAAGATCTGAGAACATGAGACTTTAACTTGAGAGAAGGGAAACTTCCGACGCCAGAAATGAAACTAGAAGAATTGGAAACCGTCGATACTCTTCTATGGTGGCGTTGACTACTAACATGCCAGGAAGAAACCAAACTCGCCTTGGTCAAAACCTCAGCCATTAAATTTTCCTTCGCTTCAGAAACCACAACGACGAAGAAACCAGGAAAGCTTGAGAGAGAAAAAGAAGAGGAAAGCGAAAACGCTGAGAAGAAAAGGGTCTACACAAAAGAACTTTATCCACAAGTGAAGGCAAATCGACGTGTAAAGTTGCGGGGCTGAAATGGAAACAGAGGATAAACGAAAGTGGATAAAGTTAAATCGCTGGTCAGTATACGGCTGTGATGACTAGAGGCAAAGATCAACGGTGGCAGAGAGATCTTGGCAGACACGCGGCGAACTGTTGTGGTTGCCTGGAAAATCGCGATTAGGAAAGGGAAGATTAAGGAGGTGGGGCCAGAAGGTGCGGGATTACCGACACGTGTTGAGTTGCATTTTCGTTAGATTTGATCAGTGGTTTTGGATAAAGGTTTTGACTTCTTCTTCTTTTTCTCTCACATCATGGCCGTTCAAAAAAATTTTTTTTTTTTTTTTGGGTCCAGAATGTTCTTTTAGTTGAGAGAGATGCAAACGCATCAGCAGCATCTACCATGGAATATATTTACACCGGAAGATATCTTTTTGCAACGAAACAAAAGTTTGAATTTCTTATTCGTGAATTAAATGAAAAAATATATTTAAAGAAAATAATTTTACACCAATATTTTAACAAAATTCGGATAAAATATATTCATAACCATAATAATAGTTATGCTATATTTTATAGTTAAGAAATCAAATAAAACTATTATATTTTAGTTAAATTTTGTGTAAACTTATCAAATATAAAATAACTTATTTTATTAGAGATTTAAATATATTATCTAAAGCAATGATAATATATATATATATATATATATATATATATATAATATTTTACAAAAAGTAAAATTAATAATTGTATTACTGAAACAAAATTATATAATATTATTGTTGTAAAATATTACTATTTTGTTTTTCCTTTAACCTACTAGTAGCTTTGTACTGGACTCTAAGAATATATTTCCTTTAACCTACTAGTAGCTTTGTACTGGACTTTAAGAATATCTTGTTAAGAAATTAATATTTAATCCTTTATATAAAAAGTTTATATGTAACCGATTATTAACTGGTGAAAATATGATTTTTATATATGGATCGGGTTTTGGACATTACACAGTCTGGAGTCTCGAGTATTAAACGCTGAAGTTTCATGTATTTTATTGTTATAAGGTCTCTTCATTAGTCTAATTACATAGGTAGATTAATTACATAATATTTGGGGCGAGATACCAGGATAAATCATAGGAGTAAGATGTTCGAGGTCAGATATGCTCGGTTAAATACCCGATGATCGGAAAATAAATTATTTTGGGCACTACATAACTCCTTAGCTTCAAGTGTCGGCATCGAGGTTTTAACTAGGTCAAATATTTGTATGACATGACAGTGAATTATTCTGAACACTACACAATCTCCCAACCTCATGTATTAAACACTGAGACTTTGAGAAAACTTATTTTTACCCATCAGTCAATAATTTAATAATGTAAGTAATTTGGTTTTCATACAAACAATATCTTGGTCATTGTAGATGGACTTGTAAAGTGACCACAAAGGGCTGACTTGTAGATTGACCTCACAAAGTGACTTGTAAATGTTGAATAATTCGCAAACGCACCAATATTATCAATCATAGTATAGTATTTTGATTAAATAAAAGTTGATCACACGAGGAATGATTTCACTGAAAATTCTAAATCATATGCTTACTAAATGAATTAAAGCAAATTGGGTTTTTCATAAAGATTTGGATTGAAAATAAATGACAAAGAACTGTAAAGTGCGTTTAGAAAATATCAAATAAAAGAATTTAGGATTGACTTACTTTCTTTTTCCTCTTTTGTATAATGACTAAATCAATTAAGAACATCAATTAACCTATCAATGTTGATGTTACCTACTCAAATCATTCATGTTGATTCCTTACACATGAAATTCATAAGAAAACCTAGTAAATGTTGATTCCTCACACAATTAAGAGATTTTCCAGCGTTAAGTTTAGAGTGTTAAGCAATTGATACATTCATTTCATTCTTGACAATTAACGTAACAAATATTATTACTGTGATCTATGGTTCAAGATATATTTTTCAATCATATCCCAAACATCAAGAGTAAACGTTCAAAGACACAAAGGATAAGAATAACATCATCAACAACACAGATTAATATCTCAAAATATTACCAAGATACAAAAGAGTTCAAAGGAAGTGCACCCAATTCTAAGATAATGAAGTTAGTCACTCATGGTGACTATTACAAGCATCCAAATGGAGAAGAATTGATGAAGAACAGAATAACCGTCGCACCTCTTCCAAAAACCTAAAATTCTCCTCTTTCTCAAAACACATCTGATCTATTTATAGAAATCTTTTGTGTCATTCGCTCAAGTGGATACTTTCGCTCAAGCGAATATTAATGATTTTCACTCAAGCGAGAATTTACTCGCTTGAGCGACTGACTTCCAGAGAGGTTTGACGTATTTTCGCTCAAGCGAATATCTACCTCGCTCGAGCGATTGACTTTCAGAGAGGTTTAATATATTTTCACTCAAGCGAGCGTCTACCTCGTTCGAGCGAATCTTAGGCTTAAAATCTTCTTCTCTTTTTTCCAAATTTTTTTCAATTAACTGGAGAATTATGTTCCTTGCTCTTACACCTAGGTGCTCTGTAAATTCATCCTACATTAGGATAAAAATAAATTAAAATCAACATAATTTAAGTGGTTAAATAATAATTCAAAGCATAATTATATCAACTTTTGGCACTTAACAACTCCTCCTAACCTAGAATCTTGTTTGTCCCCAAGCAAATTACTTTTTTCAACACAAAATCATCACCTATTATCACTTTCTCTTCCAGAATCACAACATAAAAATAATTTTTCTTCTAGATGCGATGTTCATAACTCCAAATGAAAATAAGATACATAAGCATTAAAGTTACAAAAACTAACAAAGGATAATTAATCATCAACTATCCTCAGAGAAGCATGATCTCTCAAATAGAGTGATATATAATCATCTCTAACTCTCACGGGTAAGTGTTTATCTCATTCAATCACTTCATTTAGATATTCCAATATTGATAATCATCTTCAAGAAATCAGCATTTGTTAAGCAAGACTTAAATCAAAAGGTCTTTTAAAACTTGTAATGGGGTTGGGCTAAGAAGGAATTCATTGGTTTTTCTGGGATATACAAAAGTATTTGAGAAATTGAAATTATATGAATGATTCTTGTTTATCATTTCCTTAAGTCAAGTTTCAAACTTCATGCTTTTGCTCTAACATAATGATAGTGAGTTAACAATCTCTCCAATTATCATTCACACCACTTTGAATTTCCTTTTCCTTTCCTCATGCTTTGCATTTATCATTTTAGCTTAGCCACAATATTTATGTTTTTCTTTTCCTTTTTGCTCTACTCAACCTTCTCTCTCTTTTTTTTTTTTTAGAATATCAATACCCGTAAGAGAAACAATAACATTCATAGTCATTTTATTTCTCAAATATAAGAAGATGGATAAACATTATTTATGCTCAGGGGTTCTGTTTCAAGAAACAATCTTGTTTTTTGCTCAAATGGGGTTCAAATGGATTTCCTATAATTAATGCAGGGTTGGCTATTTGGCTCTGGGTTATATCTACTTTCACTACACAAGAAAAAAATGTCTTTATTATTTTCAAGTCTCGCTAACATGCAATCACATAAAAGAATCAATCAATACCAGTTATCATCATAAAATATTGACACTCAATTTATCTGTTTTTGGTTCACTCCTCTCTTGGGTTTCGACTAACTTCTTCAATTCAGTTAATTCCTAGTTCTCCTCATCAATTCCTTTTTCACTATCATACTCATCATCCTAAAATCACTTATAATTGGAAACAATAAAAAACATTTTAATTCTCCTCATTAAGTTCTAAATTTGAATTAGACAATAAACAATGGTTTCATGTAACTCTAAAACAAAATGTGGGACAACAAAGGAATTCAAAATTTAAAACAAAGCAATTAAAAAAATTAAATTAAAAACATTCAAAACAAAGGAATTAAAAACAAAGTCAATTTCCTCCCTCATTTTCTTCACTTGTCATCTCCTCCTCATCTTGTGCTTCAGCCTCAGCTACAAACTTTCTTACCCCCTCCCAAAAAAGTTGGACTGTCTCCAAGCCATTGAAGTAAGGCTTCAAAGTCTTGAGGACAAGTCCACTATGTACCTGGAGCAATCTTGCAAAGAAAGAACCTAAGGAAGAAAAATGGACAAAAAACTTAAAATGCACAAAGAAAAACAAATTCAAAATATTGGGTTGCCTCCCAGGAGCGCTTGTTTAACGTCATTAGTTCGACGCCTGTTTGCTTTATGGTTCATGCAGGTGAGTGATCAAGGTGATCTATACGCATTCTCCATCCCTTGATTGTCCTTGTAGGAATGAATTTATTCTTTTCATTACGAATAACTGTCATCCCACCTTTCTTAGGAACAACCTGTACAGGACTCACCTTGCGACTGTCAGAGATGGGGTAAATCATACCTGCTTCAGGAGGTTTCAGTACCTCTTTTTGAACAACTTCCTTCATAGTCAGATTGAGATGTCTTTGGGGTTGTACAACAGACTTGTAATCTTGTTTTTCAGTTGAGATGAATAACTCCTCCAAAGTATCTATTCTGAGGCAATACTTTTTGTCTTTCAGTTGTTGTACAACTTCAAACAGATTAAAATTAACTTAATTATCTCCACTTCTAATTTTCAACTTTCCTTTGTCAACATATATAATTACTTTGGCAGTCTTCATAAATGGCCAAACCAGGATCAATGGGACTTCCACATTTTCCTCCATGTTCATAATCACAAAATCAACAAGAAATATGAATTTATCCACTCCAACTAAAACATCTTCTGTTACTCCATAAGGAGTCTTTGTTGATCGGTTAGCCAGTTGCAGAGTCATTCTAGTTGGTCTAACATCCAAATATCC